ATGCCCGAAAACAATCTCGAAAGTTTAAAAAATAAAATAATTTTAAAATATAAAAATAATGTATATTTTTAAAAAATATAAGTGTGACGCCATAAGCATCCGATCATTCTCTTGTTAGATTTACAAATTATCTTTATCACACTCAATATGGACACCTCTAACGAGATTATTTAGTGTGTGTGGGTGTGTGTGAGTACCTAAGATGAAATTTTAATGAAAAACATCACCAGTCAGCTAAATCGATCAAAGGTCAAACTATCTTAGAATTGAATACACCCTCCCCCCCCCCCCCCNTTTTTCCTTTCATTCTTTTCTGATTAGTGCAAATATATTTTTTACAATTTTTATCAATACAACACACTTCACAATTGAAGGGGATTCTTCTCTGACTATTACATAACGTGACGATGATGGTTGTGAAAAGATCTGATACATGAGATGCATAGAGCAGAAAAAAAAATTGGCGGCACGCGAAATGACCATAAAGAACATTCTAAAAACATCACTGTCATGGGTCGGCTCGCTCCGCTATAGAATAGGTGGGGCCACTAAGCGGCACGCTCGTAAATACGACACCGTCAGTCTGACGCCACACGCGAAGTCGGGTTTCGTGGAGGTTACGCCACCAAACTAAAGACTGAGTGCAAATGTGTCAGGGCTTCTTATCAGGATAGTGGTGGTGTATTTACGATCAACACCGGAACCCCCCCCCCCCCCCCTTTTCCAACGCGGTGGGTAGGCGATTAGCCCTTAAGCACAGGTGTAGTCCTTAACTCCACAGAGGGTGTCACAATCAGGGTTCCATGACAGCAAAAATGAAACAAAACAAAAAAACAGTGAAGATAGCGAAGGATGTCCTTTTTCAAAGTGCCGTCAGTACAAACTCAAATCCCAACAGCAGCACCGCTTTTCAGAGGGAATTCTAAATGTTGTTGTTATTGGTACCTTGAGAGTATGGTTCGAAAATTTAAAAAATACCATATTAGTGTGGTTGATGACAGTGACAGATTAATGTGGTTGATGAAAGTGGCAAGTGAATATTGTCGATGAGTGTGGTCGATGAATGTGGCTGAAGAGCTCGCCTATGATGACCAAAACTAAAAAAATTCGTCCATTATTTCTCACCGTCACATGACTGTGTACAGGGTTCATGGGCACACATGTGTTCAGTCGTTGGTGTCTTAATCAAAGGACATGATCCACCATATATGATGTTATGTCTTAGTGTGAATTTCACAGTTTACTGGGTGGCACAAGCATTTCCGTTACACCTTTCCCTCCAAAAAAGTGGTTCTCAACCTTTCTGATGCCGCGACCCTTTAATACATTTCCTCATGTTGTGGCGACCCCCAACCACAAAATTATTTTCGTGAATATTTGATAACTGTGGAGTTTATGTGTTTTCAGATGGTCTTAGGCGACCCCTGTCAAAGGGTCGTGCGACCCCCAAAGGGGTCGCGACCCACAGGTTGAGAACAGCTGCTCTAAAACATGCCAAACATATGTTATTAGACTCCTTTATCACACCTCTACTGAAGGGCACTAACCCTCAAAACCCCTCAGACATGTCAACGATTGTCCCCCCCACGCCCCCCATAACCTACCCTCACCCTGTCACATCAATACCCCGTGGAGGATCCTTTTATTTTTTTCTGTTATCCTACTTTTTGTTACACAACTGACATGCCCAACATTCCACTTCCTCCGTTCCACCATGTTCCCATGCTCCACTACGTTCCCGCGTTCAACAATGTTCCCACGTCCCACCACTATGTTCCCATATTGTTTTAATGTCTTGTTCACCCATTGTCATAGTCATGGGTGTAGAAACATGACGCCGTCACTGACATGGCTCTCTTACCTGCTTACCTGCATTACATTGTTGAGATACCTGACTATCAGGTAACAAGCCTCAGGTGTTGTACGGCGTCCCGCTATCGGGCCCCCTTATTTCTACAGCCCGTTAGGAAAGCACGTGACCAATTAGGGCTTGCAAATGACGAGTCACGTTAGTGTGACTTAGGCTTACGGTGCTGTGTAAGCCAGCTACCCATTACAATAGTTTGACTGCCGTGATACATAATAGTAATATTGACGGTGTCATAATAGAATAATGTGGCATATCAAAATCATTGCTGAATAGTTTCATTATCTGTGTACATCTTATTGCTTTGTGAATTTTTTTTTTTTTGTTAAAGCCGATGTTGTGACTTTTCCAACAACAAAAATTTCCCACAACTAGCAATTTTTGAGAATAAATTAAAAATAAAAAATAATATGGACTAGATCTAATTTTTATTTTATAATTACCAAAGTGTCATTATGTTCAATGTTGTTATCTTTACGGTTGACATGTTGACACGTACAACTTACTGTAAACTATTAACTAGTGTGTAATGTGGTCTAAACCTACGACAGATGGCAAAGCAAATTTAAAAAAAAACAAAAAAACCTCAAAATTTATGGCCGACCAATGGTGCAATCTAAGGTAAGGAAAAATAGATCTCTATTAATTCAGCTTTTTCACTCATAGAGACGAATTTTCTTAAATTTCAAAAAAAAAAAAAAAAAATTTTTTTTTTTAAAACAAAATAGGGCAAACTTTATTTGTTAATGAAATTAATTTTGTTGTTTCCATTTTCATTTCAAGCATCAAACATGGCAGTTGTTACATTTGGGACACTTCCGGTTTTCGTCACCTTCCTTTTCCGGTTTTTAAACATATTTTCCTGATTTGCTTTTTTTTTAAATTTTGTATAATTGTCTTGATGTCAAAGACCAACAGAAAGTACACGATATGTTTGACGTACCAACGGTACGGGTCTATCATCTCTTTCCCGGGAATCGGAGGGCGTGTCAGCTAGTATTATTTAAAAAAAAATAATAAATTCAAACTCTATTCTGTATTTTCACCACGCGTTATTAAGTAGGTAAACTGCCCCTCCCCCCACGTATAATAAGGGAACACAAAAGAGCGTATAATATGATAACTTTGACCTGCAGCTTACAGAAGGTTTGACATGATAATGTTGACCTACAGCTAAGAGAAGGTATGACATAATAGTGTTGACCCACAGCTTATGGAAGGTATAACATGTTGACTCAGCTGATGTTTGCTTAATGCGATGTACACATGTCACGTGACAGCTCGGGTTTAATTTGCTTTTTTTTTTTGTTAACTGTCGTCAAACGTGTGCACGCCACTGGTTCAAATACACAACACCAAAGTCAACTGACTTCTCGTCACAACAATGACCCCTCACAGCCACGGCCCCTCACACCCACGGCCCTTCACAACCACATACCCACGGCCCGTCACACCCACATACCCACGGCCCCTCACACCCACGGCCCCCACACCCACGGCCCACACACCCCCGGCCCACACACCCACGGCCCACACACCCACGGCCCCTCACACCCACGGTCCACACAACCACGACCCACACAACCACGCCCCTCACACCCACGGCCCACACAACCACCACTGCCCTTGACCTTTAACTATGGCTCCACCGATAATCCACTGATGAGCTCATCCGCTGACAATCCACTGGTCTTTTGCCCGGCCTGCGACCCAGTCCCCGCCAGACCGCTGTTCAGGTCCTCTCTCCAACCTGGGAACCATCCAATGGCCCCGTACAATCACACTTAGCACTCGGGAACCTGCTGCTCGCGAACAATATGTCGCACTTTGAGACGTCCCATGTGACTCTTGGATACTACCAGTTACTAGATCAACATGTTTTATTTGGTTATTTGCCATCAATAGGTTCCCGACCCGTTCTGCAGTCTTATCCACCACAAATCTCCTACAACTATTGACCCCCGATCCGTGCATTAGCAATACAGCACAAACATGATCTTCAGCTACAATGTATAGCCATCAGCTACAGTGAATAACCATCAGCTACAGTGGATAACCACAAGCTACAGTGTATAGCCATCAGCTATAGGGTATAACCATACGATACAGTGTATAAACCAAAAGCTACGGTATATGAACGTAAGCTACAGTGTATGGCCATCGGCTACAGGGTATGACCATACGATACAGTGTATATCCACAAGTTTGATTGTATTACCATAAGCCTGAGTGTACAGACGCAAAAAAAAAAAGAGTATACGTTTTGACAAGACGGTCCCGTGCGGCAGACACAACACTGTCACGCACACCAAAGTATCAATGTCACAGCCTTGTCACAACAGTGACACCGTTCTGACACACGCAGCGGCGTAACAACTGTCTGAGTGGGCTGAGCTTCTTTTTTTTTTGGGGGGGGGGGGGGGGGGGGGTTGCGGGGGAATGTCTCCCTAGCCCAGAATATTTGAAAATAAATATACCCCCGCCTTTTGAAATAAATTCCCCAATCCGCTCTTTAATCCTTAAAACCATTTTAAGAATATTTTCCCCAAGGGGAGCAACTAAAGTTAATGTGGGTTTTTTTTTTCCTTCTGACGTTATTGTGTATCCTTGTTATGGCAAAGTAAAATTCAGGGTGCACAAACAAATATCCTGTATCTAAAATCTCGTTTGTAAAGGTGACACTCCTGTTTATAACACGGCAAAAATGTGTTTTTAAAACTTCTGATTGATGTGAATTGTGTCTTTGAGTCCACCAACGTCATGGTACATCCGCGTGGCACGCGAGATCTCCCGCCTTTTGACTTAGTTTTGCGTTCAAGTGTGCGACCAATGACATGATAAGGTGAATTAGCTTGGCTCGCGCAAAAATAAAAGAACAAATTGGGTTTGAGGCTGCCACAGTTCCGGTTAGGGTTTAATATTGATCGAATTGTCTTCCTTTCTGGAGAGATTCCCGCGTGAGACAATTGGCGGTTGTTATTTTTAGGGTGTTTACGCTTACCGGCATTACGTCACGTCTTACAAAGGACACGTCGCAATTTTACAACCCTGATGACACACCCGAGGCGTCTGTGACCGCGATAAATACAAGGCATGGTTGGAACATGTCGTGCAGTCATATCTTCACGCGGTGACAGAGCATCGGCCGCTGTTCGAAAGGTCCCCGTGTGGCTTAGGAAGGATATTCTACGACTTGTAAGACCGCAATGTTTGTCGTTTAATTTATTCCATTTTACGACTTGTAAGACCGCAATGTTTGTTGTTTAATTTATTCCATTCTACGGCTTGTAAGACTGCAAGGTTTTTTTCGATTACTTCATTCAATTTTATGACTTTTAACATTGCAATGTTTATTGTTCAATTGTGTTTCCCCTTTTATTCAATAAGACTTCACTGTTAGCGGTGAAAAGTAGATCATGATTACGGAATAGACTGTGAAGCACAAGGCCACTCTAAGACTTCTTAAGGCTACGAGCCCACCTTTACCTGTCAACGGATATTCAATGCTTTTCAAAGTGTTCCTATTTCATTTGATTTCTAGCAGCTTATTTCTAAGGCATTGGACCGATGAAGGTAAATTGTATTGTACGTCTGAAAGTTATAGGCACACACAAATAACTTTTTCTTTTTTTTAAATAGAAAGAGAAGTGATAAATGTCATTGTTGACGTTGTGGTTTATTTGAGGCATGGTGTTGTTGTAACGTCATCTCCACGTTTCAGCCAAATATGGCTGTAGGTTGACATTGATTTCAACTTCATGCTTTATTTAGACTTTGACGTTCTGGAATGTTTTCTAAAGCAACTTTGGTAGAGGGGGAAGTTGACGCATTGCCGCCGTGGTAGAGTGGGAAGTTGACGCATTGCCGCCGTGGTAGAGTGGGAAGTTGACGCATTGCCGCCGTGGTAGAGTGGGAAGTTGACGCATTGCCGCCGTGGTAGAGTGGGAAGTTGACGCATTGTCGCCGTGGTAGAGTGGGAAGTTGACGCATTGCCACTGCCATTGTTTTGCGGGAACTTTCTTGATCTTAATAAAGTATTAAAATTAAAATATATTTTAAAAGTGTTTCAAATCCTTTCTCATAAAACATTGGAGCAATTTACAGACTGTTTGTAGGCCATAGTCTAAATTTTTAAGGGGTTGGTAAATTTTGGTCGGACGGTTGTGGGAAAACAAAGCTGGTAAAATACAACGTGAAATAATTCATCAACAGCCGACTAATACAATCTTCCTCTACGTGTGTTATCGGCCGCATGAGGTTACTGTTAACTTTGTTAACATATGCGTTTATTATTTGGTCTCGAGGCTATACGAATTACCAAGACCTATAATAACATATTTCAACAGATGGAAGTTCATTTCAAACCGGCAATGGAACTGTGTGAACTTTAGATGTGTCCTTGAACTTATTATCCAATCTATAGGCGTATCATCACTGATGCCCCCCCCCCACACACACAAACACACACTCACAAACACACACTCACACTTTAACCCTTCACGGGACAGGGGCGTAGAAAGGGGTCGAGGAGGGGGTGGTCTGCCCGAGGCGCCCTTTCTTTTTCCTCCTTCATACAGTGAGAGGGTGACATTGTTGGTCGACTGCATAGTTTATTTATTTATTTATTTATTGGGGAGACAAACATCTCGCCCCAGCCCGTGCAGCACCTACCCTAGCTACGCCGCTGTCACGGTAGTATTATACTCATTTAGTCAACTGTCTTTGCACTACCCCCCCCCAACCCCACACACACATACAAAATATAAAAAAAACTATAAGTTCAAATCAACTACCGGCAGGAGACTTGAGATGTGATTGCTCGTTTGATTGATTGCCTGGCCCCGCCCAGTCACTTCAGCTCATTAAACACGAAGGAAGGGGAGAAAAAGCGCAGATCGCTTGATTGAGTTAATGAGAGTCATCAACGTTTCAGTTGAGCCATGGCCACTCGGTGTTAGAGCCAAGTGGAGTGGAGTGAGCCCATCAATAGCCATCAAACCACGGTACGGAAGTCCAGGCGGACGGAACTCCCATGTCTCACGCAGACCTATGGAACTGTTCTTGTAGATGTTGAAGTTTCAAACCTTTTGGCGGAGTCTGTGGAACACAGTGCAGGGGTAAAAAACACTCACAGGTACACGGTGATTTCGTGCATGGACAATGCTTTGCGAATATGACTACGATATTCGGCGTTGATTAAAAAAAAAATTTCACTTATTTTTCTTAAACAGAAAGAAAAAAATATTTAAAAAATCATCAAATTAGTCTTCAATGATCAAGTGCTGAAATTCGGGGATATAATTGTATCGACCTTCACTGGATAACTGCTGCACTTTGTGTTTGACTGAGCTGCCATTTTCGAAAAATTACATGTTTGCCCTAACTCTACTCGTCGCTGGAACAAATAGTTTATGGTATTAATCTCTTTGGTATTACAATTGTGTTTTATTTACTGAGATTAAATTTTATTTCCTATTTAAAAAAAAAAAAAAAAAAAAAAAAAAATTTTTTTTTTTTTTGTACGTCGTGTTTCGATTACTTTAAAGTGTCCTCGTATAGCTGTGTCAAATGACGCATCGTTTATTGTGGTTGCGAACTTTGGCGTTGTAGGTCAATAGTTTTTTGGGGAATCTCCACAAATTAGTCTCAGATTTGTATGTAAACAATTGTATCATCACCGCAAGTCAATAATTTGACACTTTAATCTCCTAATACCCAATGACTGTCCAAGTGGATTAAGATACCCTGCCACTTCTGTGAACGCATGTGGGCGGGTTGTGGCTTTCGGTGTGGTGAATCGTACGTTATTTGATAAGCACAATGGGTCTAGCTAACATTCAAGGTTTACGTAACATCATCTGTTATCCAGTACCGGTCAACGTCCTTATTCATTTCAAATCATTGTGTGCAGTGGCGTAGCTAAGATGTGTGTCGTTTGTGGCAAACGGGCGTGGCAAAGATTTCTTTCCCACGCGCTTCCACGAAAACACTCTGTAGTTGGCCGGAAATGTCTCCCCTTAATATATATGAAAGGTGTTGCCCGGGGATAGTACTTGGATAATAATGTTCGACGTCTTGTTCCAGGGGCGTCTCGATAACTCACCATGCCACTTCTTGCTACCACATTGCTCAAGATCAGATATGAATAAGAGCTTAACGATCATTTTGACGTGGAGCTGGGCTCATGTTCTCAAGAGCAGAGCTCAGCTCGCACCAAATAAAATTGACACAAAGTGAGGCACGTGTGTGAAAAATTTCATAAGTCATGAAGACTGGGGGAAAGGGGGGGGGGGCCCTAAATGGGTCCGACCCTGCTCAAGTCAAACTGCAATGTCGCTGGCCTGTGATATTTACAGCTGGCGTGTCACCGGCAACAGTTTTGACACGCGCTGGATGCTCTCCACTAATCTCATAGAGATCACTCCGATCTAGTTCAGCGCCGATAACTCTCGGCCGATATCGATAGCTTGAGACATTGATTCCCGGCCCGCGGTGGTGACGCCGTGTTTGCTGACCTCATGTTGACCTGTCCAGGTCATCCGGTGGGTGAGACCCTTCCTGGCTTGACAGATCTCAGTTTTGTCGTTTCATTTTTCCCGTCGTTTGTCCCCGGGGGGAGGTCGAATCTCGTCTGACTGGTCTGCACACAGAAATCTGCCTGCACACAGAAAGCTGTCTGCGCGTGACGTTTCCCTTACATGTATTAGTGTGAGGATATAACTTTAGTTTATCTGGAATTTATACACAGTTCATTTTTACTCTTCTTCATTCAGGGTTGTTGTCTGCGGTGTTCTTTGTTTCATTTCTATTTTCTATTTCTATTTTCTATTTCTATTTTCTATTTCTATTTTCTATTTTCTATTTTCTATTTTCTATTTTCTATTTCTATTTTCGATTTCTATTTTCGATTTATATTTTCTATTTCTATTTTCTATTTTCTATTTTCTATTTTCTATTTTCTATTTTCTATTTTCTATTTTCTATTTTCTATTTTCTACTTTCTATTTCTATTTTCGATTTCTATTTTCTATTTCTATTTTCTATTTCTATTTTCTATTTCTATTTTCTATTTCTATTTTCTATTTCTATTTTCTATTTTCCATTTCTATTTTCTATTTCTATTTTCTATTTCTATTTCTATTTTCTATTTCTATTTTCTATTTCTATTTTCTATTTTCTATTTTCTATTTTCTATTTTCTATTTTCTATTTCTATTTTCTATTTCTATTTTCTATTTCTATTTTCTATTTTCTATTTCTATTTCTATTTCCTATTTCTATTTTTTTTTTAACTTTTCAACTTTTATTTTCAATAATTAGCAGACATGTATAACTACAATATCAACCTATCCGTTAATGAACACGCCAGGGGCAAGTAACTCCGACAGATATCAGACGCCCCTCATCCACCAATTAAATTGTCTCCCATATTCATGATATTTTCTTCCATTTTTTCTTCCAGATACCACTGAACGACATCTGATCCAACCTACTCCTCCATATCCGCATCCGTGGATTACTTCGTTCACCAAAATTCCTGCAAATGTTGACTTCTCATTAGCCCAAAACAAGTAGGAAAAAACAAAAAACAAAAAGACCTGGATGGCATTAATCCGTACATCTGTCACATCATCCAAACCCGTGACCTCGTCTGTTTCAACTGTCACATCATCCAAGCTGAACATCGCCTGTGTATGTTTGTCACATCGACGACAGCCTTAATCATAACTCCAAATAATTTCCGTGCCCCCGAGGCCAAGCTTCTCGGCCCCCATCCAGGTGTGAGAGGGCAGATACACATTTAGTGTGTGAATAGCGTCGACTGCAATCTATTCTCACGTCGGTTTGATGCCCGCGTATCCATTTAAACGCCACGATTGATTTTTCTCCACTTAAAGATTCCATATTTTGGATTATTTGTTTTGTTGTATCGGATGCAATTGGGGAAGAAAAAAAAGATCGAATTTGGATTGAGTAATATTTAATTAAATCAATCAGCTCCTGGGAGAAGTTATCATCTGTGAAGAGAACACTTTGACCTGGTGAGATTTTGGAAAAAAAATTTACAAAGCTGACCTCTGACCTCCCCACGGCCACATTCCTGACATCACCTCAGACTAACAACATGTCCAATCTTCCAGTCTCAAAACAAGCTGTGATCGATGTCCTCATCTTTGTGGCATGTAAGTTATGGCATGTTCTTAAATTATATCATATTTATAACAGATGAGTTCTCCACTTGTCCACGCATATTCCCATACTATTATATATTTAACCTTGACGAAGGGGTGGGGGGGTGAGGGAGGCAGCCACCTTCCGTCTTCTCCGAGTCACCAATGGTAGCTTTGCGTTCATCCTAGATATCATATTTTTATCATTTTTCCCCCCAACCACAAGGATTACCTTATCAGCCACTCCCAATTTTATCATGATTGAAGTATCAGATTTTTAAAAAGTGTTAAAAAATAAATTAAAATCTCCAGGATTATGTCGCCTCGTGCTACATTTCCACCCAGCTCCGTCTACATCATCACCAGAGTAACGACACAAAGCCTATTTGATGTTACGACCTTAAGTATACAAGTATAAACGTTCATCAATGGCGCCACAACCCATGGAGGGCTCTTGCCTTCTCCGTCCTATATTTCCACTCAGACCCGTCGTGGCTTTTCGTCTTCATGTAAACCCGTCTCCACATCATCAACCCGTCTCCACATCATCAACCCGTCTCCACATCATCAACCCGTCTCTACATCACCAACCCGTCTCCACATCATCAACCCGTCTCCACATCACCAACCCGTCTCCACATCACCAACCCGTCTCCACATCATCAACCCGTCTCCACATCATCAACCCGTCTCCACATCATCAACCCGTCTCCACATCATCAACCCGTCTCCACATCATCAACCCGTCTCCACATCATCAACCCGTCTCCACATCATCAACCCGTCTCCACATCATCAACCCGTCTCCACATCATCAACCCGTCTCCACATCATCAACCCGTCTCCACATCATCAACCCGTCTCCACATCATCAACCCGTCTCCACATCATCAACCCGTCTCCACATCATCAACCCGTCTCCACATCATCAACCCGTCTCCACATCATCAACCCGTCTCCACATCATCAACCCGTCTCAATCTATGTCTACCAAAGAGCCGTGTTCCCCTTGGTTTCTGTCTGTAGACCACTTTTGCTCGTCTCTGAGCTGTCCTGTCCAGAGCAGCCCGCCTCTTTTAAGCGCCGTGATTGGGGTGAGTCTGATGCGTACTAGCGGTATATTTCTTTGGGTTGTCCAAACTCTCCCAGCATCACTCTCTGCGCTGGCAGGTATATCTTTGTGACGATGCTACTGTCCAGCGTACGCCCTTTGTGAAGTTCCATGTTCCTTTTGAAGGTCCATGTCGCCCACGTACATTCCTTGAGAAATTCAATGTCTCCCACGTGAGTTCCTTGTGAAGTTTCATGTCTCCCACGTACATTCCTTGGGAAATTCAATGTCTCCCACGTACATTCCTTGTGAAGTTCCATGTTTCTCACGTATGTTCCTTGCGAAGTTCTTTGTGAGGTTCAATGTCTCCTATGTACAGTCTTTGTGAAGGGGCATGTCTCCCACGTACTTTCTTGGGACGTTTATGTCTAACACATTCGTTCCTTGCAAAGTTTCATGTCTCCCCCCTAACTTCCTTGTAAAGTTTTATGTCTCACACCTACGTTCATTGTAAAGTTCTATGTCTCACCTACGTTCCTTGTAAAGCTCCATGTCTCCTACGTATGTTTCCCTGTAAAGGGCCACATCTCTCCTGCATACATCACTAACAGACTACCAACCACTAACTTAACTTGCGACTCTTTTTTGTGTGGTCAGTTTATCTCGAGATGCCAGGGAAAACGTAAGATCTGCGCAACTCCATAACTTTACACTCTTGGACTTAACATTCCGTAGGACTCATTTATTACCCATGTTTAAACCAGGTGCCTTTATCTATTTTTAGATCTAAACGCAGTTAACAACCACGGGGAAACTACATTGTTTTGTTTATTGTGCTATCAAATATTTGTTGACTTAGAATCGGGAAATTCCGGCCTAAAGCACGTAGGTGATTCTTCGCAATAAAACCGTCTGTCCTGTCTGATGTCATGTGACCTATCGCATAATATCTTTGAACATTATTTGAGATAGTCATCTGTATGACTATAACTTATAAAAGGAATTATCAAATTACCAGTTGAATGTTTTAGTTGAAAAGAGCAAACTAATATTTTTTTTTTTTAAACTAAAGGTGAACCGGAATATAGTTTATACACATACAACACACAAATAAAATATGAAACCAAATATAACATAAAAATACGTTTACATGAAGTTATGGTGAATGAAAGGCCAGGGTCACAGTCCGTTGATCGCACCGTGAGAAAGCCAGTGCTACTTTGTCATGGGGCACCTAGTGAACTAGCTGAACCAAAAGGGACCATAAAGCACAGGGTATGCGGGAAACCATGAACGGGAACTCCTCAAAGCGCAGACCTCTCGGCATAAGAAGCGGACAGAATAAGGATGACCAGAATAAAAGTATAGATTTTAAAAATGTCAAAGAAACTAATTGGAGCGAAATTTAGAAGACGCGGGTCGAAATAAGTGCGATAGAAACTAGGGGATAAAAATAGAGCTAAGAGTCGTGTCATGGGAAAACAGACCCGTTGGGGGGGAGGGGGGGGCGGGTAGAAAATACTACCGATGGGTGGGTAGATAATACTACCGATGGGTGGGTAGATAATACTACCGATGGGTGTGTAGATAATACTACCGATGTGTGGGTAGATAATACTACCGATGCGTGGGTAGATAATACTACCGATGGGTGGGTAGATAATACTACCGATGCGTGGGTAGATAATACTACCGATGTGTGGGTAGATAATACTACCGATGTGTGGGTAGATAATACTACCGATGTGTGGGTAGATAATACTACCGATGGGTGGGTAGATAATACTACCGATGTGTGGGTAGATAATACTACCGATGGGTGGGTAGATAATACTACCGATGGGTGGGTAGATAATACTACCGATGGGTGGGTAGATAATACTACCGATGGGTGGGTAGATAATACTACCGATGGGTGGGTAGATAATACTACCGATGCGTGGGTAGATAATACTACCGATGTGTGGGTAGATAATACTACCGATGTGTGGGTAGATAATACTACCGATGCGTGGGTAGATAATACTACCGATGGGTGGGTAGATAATACTACCGATGGGTGGGTAGATAATACTACCGATGCGTGGGTAGATAATACTACCGATGGGTGGGTAGATAATACTACCGATGGGTGGGTAGATAATACTACCGAGGGATTCCAAAGATGTCAGAGAGCCAACGTTAATGCACAGCTCACTAACAAAGAAAGCGCACAGCGAGCGCAATCCTATTGTCGCCGATACAACTAGGACCACAAATCGCATGTGTTTCAACACGCGGGAAAATTGTCCAGTCTCAAATCGGGCCGGCAACCATAGACCTGCGCACTCACTGTCGAATTCACTTTGATGCAGCCTTGGACCTCTTAGCATGCGATGGACGGTCAACAACAATAGCCAGTACACACGACCTGATGCTTGCCCTACCTCTCCGGTTCGATGACAGTCAAAAGGTGGTTTTGGGGGGAAAGGGGGGGGGGGCGCTGACAACTCTACAAAAAAAAAAAAAAGATTTTTTTTTATAATTACTTTTTTTTTTTAAATTTACTTACCAAGGACGGATCACAAGAGTAGTGTGTTACAATTATTTTTGTTTTGAAGCAAAACGTCACCATTTCCGATGTGGTTAACACCTGCACCACCACCGACGTCACGTGTCTGTAAGTAGCCCACTTCCCGCCAAATTTCCTGTTTGTTCATGCTAATGCAAACCCCCGCGAGGGGGCGCTATACATACGAACGATTTAGCTATTTTCACTCCTCGCGTTTCACCCTCGCACAACCGTCGTCAGGATAGCACTTAAAAAAAAAAAAAAAAATCTTGTTTAGTCGTCTGCCATGCCTTATCTCGCGCTAACGATGATGTTGTAATGACTGAAACACCGGCTACTTGTAAACGCGAAGGTCAAATTCCACTTCTGGCGACGGATGTTATTGAAAAGATTTCCGGACCGCACTAAATCATTCATTCATTATACCCCACCCCACCCTACTCTTTTTTTTATCTCCCCCCCCCTATTTCTGATGGATGTGTTAAGGTGTTTACATGGTTGTTCCCCCCCCCAACCAGCACCCCCCTTAACCAAACATCATTCACCTTTGTGGATGTTTATCAAACCGTTTAAGTCAGAGACGTCCCAATCAATTTCTCTCCCCACCCCGCCCCCCTCAAAGAAGAATCTAGAAATTAAACGTAATGTGTCCCATGTTGACTGCACTTGAAAGGAAACACTATTATAAGACAATATGGTCATGGTAAAGTGTGCAACCTCCTGGGGTAACCTAGGGGCCCCTGAAACGGGATACTGTGTCCCCCATCTATGTTTTGTCTGCTTTTCACAAGCATATGTGTTATTCAAAGCTAGGGCCCCTATCTCTTGGCTCTCCCCCAAAAGGCCTTACCCAGCCCCACTCGAGGCCCCCAACAGGCCTTTACCCAGCCCTGCCCGATGCTCCCAAAGGGCCTTTTTCCAGCCCTGCTTGAGGCACCCTAAAGGCCCGTACCCAGCCATGCTCGATGCCCCCAAAGGGCCTTTTTCCAGCCATGCTCGATGCCCCCAAAGGGCCTTTACCCCGCCCTGCTCGAGGCCCTGAATCGTGACCTCCATACCTAGAGCTGTTTTAAATGCAATGCGACGGTTGATCCCTGATTCAATCAAAGACAATCAACAGAAGGTTGATCGGAGATTGTGAAGGTTTTCAGCCATAGCTGTAATGAGACTGTTGTTGTTATCAAGGTAAATGTTGGTTTTTGTATGGCTTCAATTTACATACAACTTATGTTAACCACATCAGTCGATCAGCTAAGATTAACCACGACAAGTGTAGAAAGACGGTTATCTGGGGGAGGAAGTGAGAGAGAGAGAGAGAGAGAGAGAGAGAGAGAGAGAGAGAGAGAGAGAGAGAGTGTGTGTGTGTGTGGAAAAAGAGAGAGAGGTGGGGTGTAGACAAAAAGTAATTTCTGACACTCGTGAAGTTAATCTTGTGAAAACATCCAAACAATTAGTTGACGAAACAAATTATCGTTTCATGTCGGAATGTTTTGATTGATGGGACAGGCTTGTGGGGTGTCCCCCCATGTGTGTATGTTCAGCTGTGTGAAAAGTGGTCCGGTCGTTCTTCATTGCAAGCTGGCCCAGGAGTCTGTAAGCTGGCAGAGGACTCGGTAAGATGGCCCAAGTTTCTGTAAGCTGGCTCAAGCGTCGGTGCGAAGCTGGCCTCTAAGTGGCCAAAGTTTCCGTGAGGTCTGTGTCCCAGAATCAACCTGTTTTGTTCCCACGAAGAGACCAGTTTCGCACTTCACTGAGTTTGAGATGAATGTGACACAGAGAACTGAATCGAACTGGTCGTCTCTATCTCCTTGGGTCAGTGGATCACATAAAACTCTATCTCCTTGGGTCAGTGGATCACATAAAACCTGTACAGAAATTCATCTTTCACCAGACAGTCTTTTAGGATGTTGAGTGAAACTTTGTCACCGTGTGAACATTAAGAGAAAGCGTATAGGCTTGTAGAGTGGCCTAGGTGTGTAAAGTAGCCTAGGTGTATAAAGTGGTCTAGGTGTGTAACTTGGCCTAGGTGTGTAAAGTGCCCAAGGTGTGTAAAGTGGCCTAGGTGTGTAAAGTGGCCAAGATATGTAAAGTGGTCTAGGTGTGCAAAGTGGCCTAGGTGTTTAGAGTGGCCAAGATGTATTAATTGGCGTAGGTGTGTAAAGTGGCCAAGGTGTGTAAATTGGCCTGTGTATGTAAATTGGCATGGGTGTGTAAAGTGGCCTTGTTGTTTAAAGTAGCCTAAGTATGTAATGTGGCTTAGGTGTGTAAAGGGATCTGGGTGTGTAAAGTAGTCTAACTGTGTAAAATGGCTCTGGTTTGTAAAGTGGCTGAGGTGGGTAAAGTTTCTTATGTATGTCAATAGGACTAGGTGTGTAAAGAAGAATATGCATGAAAACTGGCCTTATTATGTAAAGTTTCCTAGGTGTGTAAAGTGGCCTAGGTGTGTAAAGTGGCCTATGTGTGTAAAGTGGTCTAGATGTGTAAAGTGGCCTAGGGGGTTAAAGTGGCCTAGGGGGGTTAAGTGGCCTGGGGGGGGAGGGGTAAAATGACCTAGGGCGCTAAAGTTGCCTAGATGTGTTAAGTGGCCTAGGGGGTTAAAGGGGCCTAGGGGGGGTTAAGTGGCCGGGGGGGAGGGAAAATGACCTCGGGCGCTACAGTTACCTAGATGTTTAAGTGGCCTAGGGGGGTTCAGTGGCCTAGGGTGGTAAGGCGCTAAAGTTGCCTAGATGTGTTAAGTGGCCTAGGGGGTTAAAGGGGCCTAGGGGGGGTTAAGTGGCCGGGGGGGAGGTAAAATGACCTAGGGCGCTAAAGTTACCTAGATGTTTAAGTGGCCTAGGGGGGTTCAGTGGCCTAGGGTGGTAAAAAGACCTAGGGCGCTAAAGTTTCCCACACCACAGCTTCCAACTGATTAAATTAACACCAGTCTATTATTTCCCACGAGACTTTGAGGACACGAATCTATTGCTTCCCACGTGACTTTGAAGTCACCAATCTATTACTTCCCACGTGACTTTGAAGTCATGTCCGTGTTGCGTTTGACCTCCGCTTCTTTTAGTTGACGGTTTGAGGTGAGAGTGCACGTCGCGGTCCATGAACCGTGACACATGAGTCGTCATGACACGTGTCATTAAGTCGGTCAGAGGGTGTGGAGGAGGGTGTGAGGCAAGTCAGTGCGCTCAGCAGCTCGGCCTCACGTACACCAAGTTACGACCGACTTTCGTTCGACTGATGGTCAAGGGTCAGTGGGCCTCCATCGGGCCCTCGCCAAGTGCTCCAACGGGTTCGTCCTGTCTGGTACAGCTCTGCCCACTGATCCCCCTCATCAATCAACACTCTCAGCAATATTACATCATCACACATAACATTCGTGTAAATACAATACCGGTATAACCCTCCTTAATAAAAAAAAATTATTTTTAAAGCAATTTTTAAAAAAAATGTACTATAATCCCTATACAGTAATCCTATGTTTGCCACTATTGAGTAAATGCCAGATAGAATTTTGATAGTTGTGTGTGTGTGCGTTTGAGGGGGGGGGAGGGGTTGTTATATCTTCTNGTTGTTATATCTTCTTTTGATTAAAAGAGTGTATTCTGTGTGTTAACGGGCGATATTGTGTATTATTGGAAATAGGATGGGACCCTATGTGTCTCTCTCTCTCTCTCTGTGTGTGTGTGTGTGTGTGTGTGTGTGTGTGTGTGTGTGTGTGTGTGTGTGTATCGGTATCTGTATGTGTTGGTGCGTATCAGTCAGTGTGCAAGTTTTGTTTGTGCCTGTGTGTCCATCTGAGGAAGAATTTGGGGAACCGTTGATAACGTCTCTCATCGCCTCACCTTGATAACGTCTCTCATCGCGACAATTGTCCTCGTGTCAATTGTGAGTGAGCGCAACGACATGTCTGGATAACATAAATCATATCTATGTACAGTGGACACTTTACTCCAGTATAAATTGTTTTAATACAGCATCAGCCACGGATAGGCTCAAGATATCAACAAAGGACTATATCAACAATAGATGATTTCAACAACGGTTAGCACAATGATCTTGTGTTGTCTAACAACAAATCATTTGTTTGATTCACTTCTTTGATGAGTAACCTCCTCAGACAAACCCTTAACCTCTTCAAGTGGTCGGACTTTGTCATCATTTCCTCGTATGACAAAAAAAGTTACTATTCATGACGCCGGGTGATTCTTCACTGTTCCTCAAATGAGTTAAACTAAGAACACATCCACAAAATGATTGTTACAGTTTCACCTTTAGCATTCCCGACACACACCCGGGTGGCCGGGGGGGGGGGGTCGTAGTTTGAAATAAATGATAAACAACGTTTGATTTTATTGAATGCCATTTGGGTTGGGAATGGACGCGGGGGGGGTTGGTGATAGAGTGGATGCAGCAGTAGGTTGATTCACTGTTCCTCAAAAGAGTTAAACTAAAAACACATCCACAAAATGATTGTTACAGTTTCCCCTTTAGCCTTCCCGGCACACACCCGGGGGGCCGGGGGGGGGGGGTCGTAGTTTGAAATAAATGATAAACAACGTTTGATTTTATTGAATGCCATTTGGGTTGGGAATGGACGCTGTGGTAGTTTGTGATAGAGTGGATGCAGCAGTAGGTTGTGATAGAGTGGATGCAGCAGTAGGTTGTGATAGAGTGGATGCAGCAGTAGGTTGTGATAGAGTGGATGCTGTTTTAGGTTGTGATAGAATGGACGCAGCAGTAGGTTGTGACAGAGTGGACGCAGCCCATCTTTAATTTCTTCGTGAAAAGAGAAGGCATCGACGTATAGATTCAAATTATACTTCCTCTAAAACAAATGATTCCTCCGTGTGGTCTTTGGCGTCCGATTTAACGCGAGAGTTGTCATGCGGCTTTGTTGAAGTGGACACACTCATGCCTGGTCTTGGTAGCCTGAGTAGCCTGACACTTCTAGCCCACGACACAGATAATACTTAAACATGTTTCTAACACACATTTATGGTAGCTTAATTAGTGGGGGGTTTTATATGACTAATCTGTGCTTCTACTTTTAAGCATAGCCCAGGATAGTTCAAGCTCTGGATAACACAGAAGGGTCATGGATTTATCGATATTTTTGTACTGAATGATCCAAACTTTGACAGGAAATACGGGGGACGGTTGTAGTGTATGACACGGTACCTGTCAGTGAGGGGGTGAGGGGGGGGGGCTTTGTCAAGTGGATTATGGCCCGCCTCCTCCAGGACCTGGTCTGTGATCCCAGGATCTTTGATTACCATTGAATGGTAGATCTGTATGGTTTGTTGGGGAGAGAGTGTGGGTGGGAAGGGGTATCAGTGGTGTATGGGTGGGCGGCGGGGGTATGTTTTTGAACGGGGTACGGTGGAAGGGGTCTGGATGGATGGGAGTATGGTGCAAGGGGTATGGTGGAAAGTGTATGGATGGATGGGAGTATGGTGCAAGGGGTATAGTGGAAGGGGTCTGGATGGATGGGAGTATGGTGCAAGGGGTTTGGTGGAAGGGGTATGGATGGATGGGAGTATGACGCAAGGGGTATGGTGGAAGGGGTATGGATGGATGGGAGTATGGTGCAAGGGGTATGGTGGAAGGGGTATGGATGGTCGAGGGAAAGGGTGGAATGGGGTATCAGTGGTTGTATGGGTGGGAGGAGGTATGGGTGTAAAAAGGTTTAGGTGGAAAGGCGTATGGATGGGAGTGGGTATAGGTGGGAGGGGGTATGAATGATGGGGTATTGGTAGGTGAGGGGGGTGCTGTTTATCATGAGAATAAGACTGAGTACAAGTTATCAAGACAAGATTCGAACAATGAGAAAAACATTTTGAGATTTCCCTCGCAATCATACATGATGTTTGATGTCATAAATACCATAAATGACTTTTACAATGAGTCAGACTCTGATAAGTTATGCTCTTGATTCAATTATGAGAATAACGGGTGACGTAACACTTCGATTTATGCATGAAAATAGTTCTCATGTCACGTGTCATTAAGCCGTGATATTATCGTGAATGTTTGGTCTTCAAGGGAAACTATCAAAACATTACACTGGATCGTTATTACAGGAAGAGTTTTCTGTTCTTCAGATTCCTTCCGACACCCTATTTCATTGATCTATATTATGATATCAGATGTTTATTCAATAAATGGGTAATTGTAAAGCTTTAAGTTAAAAAATTTTATAACCGGTTAATACTTTTTGAAATTCGATGTTACTTAACCGGGAAATTTTCAGTCTCGCTTTAAACGAAAGTCATTGTCAACCAGTCTCATCGAACTGTCTCATCGAACGGTCTCATCGAACGGTCTCATCGAACGGTCTCATCAAACGGTCTTATCAAACGGTCTTATCAAACGGTCTTGTTTCTCTGCAGTGTGTGTCCCCCTGTTGGTGCTCCATCTTCTCGGGGAGCCCGTCACAGTGGGCTTCTTCTGTGATGACGTGTCCATCGGTCTCCCTTACAGACCGGACACCATCTCTCAGGCACTGCTGTTGCTGGCGAGTTTTGGTGGTCCATTCCTTGTGGTGAGTACCAAAAGGTCAAGTTTAACTTTCAAAAGTGCATCATGCACCGTCATGCTCTAGCAGTTCTAGCATATTATTGAGATAGGCGAATGAATACAATTATGACGATAGCTTTATTATGGAATAGTGTGTGTCATATCTAAGACATTACGTAATGTTACTATTTTAGACAATGTTTCTCGTAAAACATAGGTTCTAACAATGTATTTTAGTATATATATATAAATACATATATATATATATATATATATTATCATTTTAAAAAAATTGTGTAAAAATCTTTCGTAAAATAAAGTTGTAAACACAGTTTCGTAGAAGTACCGAACAGCTGTTGAGAGATTGGCCAAACGGAATACCAATATTTTTTATTGATATCTTAATGAGATCAGCCAGACTGCGCGCCCGGGTGTTCTATTAATAGATTACGGCCATTTTTTTTTTAATTTAACGAATAAATATTTTTTTAAATAATAATTTCCACTAGCCACAGGTCACTTTTGGTCGTACAAGTTGGCAAGTAAAATTCAATTTCCAATGAAGTAAATAAGAAAAAAAAAAAACATGTGGATTTTTTTTCTCCTCTCTAACAGATCGCGGTGACAGAAATTATCCGTGTTGCTGTCGATTCAAGACAGTCTCACCGTATGCGAACAGCCCTGTTCACCTACGCTAAGGCCTACGCCGTGTTCCTGTTCGGCATGGCGACCGTCTGCATGTTCACCGACAGCATCAAGTACTCCGTGGGGAGACTGAGACCCCACTTCCTGGATCTGTGCAAGCCAGACTTCACGAAGTTCAACTGTACATTTCCGAACGGCGCGCCAAGGTACGGCCCAATCAAACGGTGGTTTTATAATAACCGTGCCATTCAATTTTAATTTTTAACCAGAGATGGTGTCAAAGATCTATATCTATGCACGCAGATATGTCAAACTTAAAAACATTATTATATTTGACTTTTTTTTTTTGCGGCAGTATATGTCTGTTGTGGATTTTTGTTTTTCGAGCACCGTTTTGCACAAACATTTTTGGTGCGGATTCCGATGCGCAGTCGTAAAATGGATTTCCCATACAAACCTAAACACCAAACATCAATGTCTAAGAAGAACAAAGTGTGGACATTTTTAGAGACATTCGTGCGCCGCCAGGTCGGGTTCATCCCGTGCATACAGCTGTTGATATGGATCATGTTCTACCTGATGATGAAACTCTTGCTGATCGCCCTGTCCGACATCTTTCTGAGAGACTCGGCCTTCATGAAACTCTTGGTGCTGCAAGGAAGGTGAGTCAGTAAGGCGCACACTATATGATGCACACTATATGATGCACACTATATGATGCACACTATATGATGCACACTATATGATGCACACTATATGATGCACACTATATGATGCACACTATATGATGCACACTATATGATGCACACTATATGATGCACACTATATGATGCACACTATATGATGCACACTATATGATGCATTGAGAATTGATATGCTGCTAATATGCTTTATCATCTACAAAGTACGACCCAAAGTCGTCATTCAAATAAAAATAGATTTTGTGTATAATGTGTGGCAGGATGTAGAAGATTGTACTGGACACAGGAAACCGTCTAATGTACGCCTGGAAGTAAGACCCACGTATAAATGATTTAGAATATGAAATTTTAAGTATATTTCACTGTTCCACACTATGCATATATATATATATATATATATATTTGTAAATGTCTTTTCTTTCTCAGCTTTCAGACGGTCATAAATCAGAGACCGGTGAAGTTCCCAAGCGACATGATCACCAACACCCTCATCAACACCAAGGATGGCTGCGGGGGCGTGGCCAACTATGACGCCCTGGTGATCGTCCACACGGCCACCCACCATTTCCAGCACAGGCTGAACTACAGGGACACCTACGGCAACTACTTGTTTACGGTCCCTTACAGGTTAAAGGTGGTGACCTGTATGTCATATAATTACCACCTTAGACTATGGTCCCTTACAGGTTAAAGGTGATTTACATGTGTCATATACTTATGACCTTAGACTACTCAATTCACACCCTATAAATTCCACACCCCCCCCCCGGGGGGGGGAGGCAAATCTGGCTGTATTGTGCTAGTGGCTGGGATGAAAAAGTTGTCTCAGATACTTGCCTCCGCTCATCACAGGATTGTTAACCCTCCATTCCAGATCGTGTTTTTCATGGGCATCCCGGTAGACCCTGCCGAGCAAGAGGCCATAGAGAAAGAGAACAGGTACTACGGCGACACGGTTCAGGGAAACTTCACAGACACGTATCAGAATCTGACCTACAAGGCAGTGATGACCTTCAGGTGATGATGACCTTCGGGTGGACAAGTATGGGGTTGCAAAACATGTGTTTGCTGTTAGTTGTGTTTTAGTAGCATCACTTAGGTTGGTAGCGTACCGTTACAGTTACTCGCCACTCTCTGACCGACGCCCCGCCCACCCACCCCCACTCCGCCAACTTTTTTCTCAGATGGGTGTCTCAGCATTGTAAAGGTGTGAGAATCATATTGAAGATGGACGATGACGTCGTTTTGGACGTTCACAGGTTTTTCGAAGTAAGTCACATAACGTCATTCCAACGTCTCGAAGACGTCATGGAACCAACAACATCGAGACTTCTAGAAATTAAAAAAGCGACTTCAAATTAAGTTTTTTTTAAAGTCCACGACATACTCAGTGTCATGGAAGGTAACCAATCAACCAATCAACCAATTAACCAATCAAACAAATAAACAAACAACCCATAAACCAGTGTTTCCCAAACTTTCGACACCTGTGTACCCCTGTCTATAATTTTCGTAACACTAAGTACCCCTCGTTTAAAAAAAAATTGGATATACTTTAATAAATATTTTTTTTAAATTTAAATATTTTTTCCGTTGCAGCGCCTACCCACAGCAAACTCTTCCCGCCCCCCAGGGGTACGCGTACCACAGTTTGGGAAACACTGCACTGAACCAATCAACCAATCAACCAATCAACCAATCAACCAATCAACCAATCAGACAATCAACCAATCAACCAATCAAACAATCAACCATGCGTATGACATACCATGTGACGGATACACAATTATAGAATTTGCCGAATGTTCAGTGATAGATCAGAGGGTCACGTTTGATGTGCTTGACAGAACGTGTTCGACATCTTGTGGCTCATGATATGAGATCATAGATATATATACATAAATTATTTTATAAATAGTTGTTTTAAAGTTTCCCGAATTTGTACCTCACACAGGAGTTCTGGTTCCCTCCCCCTTACCAACAGGAAGTCATCTTCTGCCACATGTGGAAATTCGCAGAAGTGGAGAGGGTCGGGAAATGGGGGATATCCACGCGAGAGTACCCACACGAGTTTTACCCGCCGTACTGCAGCGGCTTCTTTGTGGTCATCATGCCGGCCATTGTGGAGGACATCTATGAGGTGAGGGGTCAGGCAAAGGGTGTAGGGTCAAATGATTAATGAATAGTTGGGGCTTGGGGTCATCAGGCCGGCCATTGCGGATGACATCTATGAGGTCAGGGGGTCAGGCAAAGGGTGTAGGGTCAAATGATTAATGAATAGTTGGGGCTTGTGGTCATCAGGCCGGCCATTGTGGAGGACATCTATGAGGTCAGGGGTCAGACAAGGGGTGTACGGCCAGATGATCAATGAATAGTTGGGGTTTGTGGTTTTGACAAGAAAAAAAAGAAGAGTGTGTGTGGTTGGGGAGTGGGGGGAGTTGAAGGTAAAAACTGGGCAAGGTTTTAAAAGTAAAAACATAGAGTGGGATAATTGTAAAAAAGTTTGTCAAGTTTAATTTCTGTTTTTAGGAATTCGTTTCTGTGTTACGTTACATATTTATATGTGTGATATGTTAAAGTTTTAACGGCTTGGTACTATATACATTGAAGATTTGAAGCTACAGTATACAGTGACATTAAACATTATACATGTTATACTAACATAGCTACTTGTTAACGGACACCCCCCCCCCGCAACTAAATCCCCACCCACAGGCTGCTAAAGCCACGCCATTCTTGTGGCTTGATGACGTCTACATCTACGGCGTTGTCAGGGAAGACATGCATGACGTCCAAATCATTAACCTGGACGAGGTGGCTTTTCGAGAGGAGCATTACCTGGCTTGCAACAGAGCTTATGGCTACAGGTAGCCCTGCGTACATTGTCGACCTGTAACGTGGCCTAACTGCTGCTGTGTCGGAAAGCGATAAAGCTTTCAAGTAGAGTAATGAGACGCAAACAATATGTGTAAATAAAACAGTTTAGGTTAAGCTTTAATAATGGTTGAAACAAATACAAATGTTAAACGTTTCGGCAAACGCCTTCATCGGTACAACAACAACAAAAATTCATATAAATATCAATTAAATTTTAGTAAAAATAAATAATTATGTATCCTACCTAAAAATGAAAGAAAAGAATAAGAATGGGCACAAGTCCGTAACGAAAAGTCTCTTTCAAGTAGCAGTGAAAGCTTTGCATAGCACAACACCACATGGGCTTCCATGGTCATCATTTATTCTCAAAGACAGTTGGATATTTTTATAACTGGATCAGTTCCATAGCATAAGACTGTTGGATTGTCAGTGGCGAATAGGAAAGGGGGGTGCTGAGGTGGTGTTCTGGGTTCTGCCGCGGGCGACAATTTTCTCTTCTAATGTAGAAGCGGAATTTTCGACCAAGTGATTAGCTGTCTTGTTTCTTCAAAGTGGGGGCAGAAAAATCTTGACCCCGCCCTGGGCGGTACTAGCTACGCCACTGTGGATAAGTTTAAATATTTGTTGTTGTTTTTGGTTCAGTCATTGTCTTCGTTGCTTTTGGGTACACATCATGTCGACTGATAACATCTTCCACCGGGATATTGCCGGGATATTTCAGAAACTGTGCCTAGTGGTGTTAAAACCGATACGTGACTAGATAACAAATGTTGTCTCACATGTTTTGGGCTTTTGTTTTCATTTGCCTCTTACGTTTGTTCTTTCTCCAGGTGTAAGTATTGGGTCTCAGTCCTCGGGGAGACCAGGAAATTCGTCCCCACTCTGATGACCCTGAGGGCCGATAGACTGAGAGTACTGGACATTTGTCACGCCGAAAAGTCGAAGGGAATTCACTCGGCGTGGTCATCGGTTGGCAGCTGCTATAAAGCGTTGAGCCAAGATAACCAGAGCCAGGCGAAGCACGGCTATGTCTAGTCCAACCATCCCAACAAAACCCTGACCGTCACCACGTCAAACCCTGCTGTCGCTTCTCTCATCAACGCCCACCCACACAAGACCCTCCCTACCCTCATCACCAGGCCAAATGTTTCTTTCGATCAATGCATTCAATGAATTATAGTATCATTTGAAGTTTAAATCATTGAAAAAGGATTTTTTCCTCTAAACTCATAATAATTTTTTTAAAATATTTCATGTGTTTAAAGCACAACATACGGCGTGCCAGCTCCCACTTTGCCGCCAGCGAAGTAACGAAATATTATTTATTCGTTTTATTTTCTTATAGCTTTCCCCACTGTCCTATTTTCTTTTTGCCCCACAAAAGTTTTTGATAAAGTGTTACGGCCCGCCTTACATTTTGAGTTGTGCAGGCCTGGTTTAAAGTATAAGGATTGACATCTATAACACTATGGCTTGTGATATTATGAAATAAAATATTTAAAAAAAAACTAATTGAGTTTGGTGTCAGTTGCTTGATCCGATGAATGTAGCTTTGTAATGTCTTTTTATGTGAGATGTGTTAAGCTGGTTTTTTAAATAAAGATTTTTATGAATTACTGTTATTGATTATATTCTTTTCTTTTTTTTTTAAATTAATTATTCTTTTAAAGATATGTTAATTTATCAAATTAAAACTATCAAAATTGAGCGTTTAGATATTAAACGTGATATTTCTCGACATAAACACAAAGAAGTGCCAGTTTGACATAACCTTCAATTCATTTGACATTGTAACTTCAGGCATCGTTTTCCACTCGGTTTCATTTCACGTGTGTCAATGAGATAGTTGGGCTTTAAAGATTGTTCACATTGTATTTTTTGACCAACAGGTACATCCTAGAGTACGAATGTACCAACACTATGGCTGACGGGAAGCTGCTGACAGATAGTCATTTGTCGTTCCCATCAGGCCATGCGTCTGTCTCTGTGTACAGTGCTCTGTTCACCATTGTAAGTAACTCCCCAGTTTAGTGAGGTTGAGTTAATGGAGCGGAATCTATAAAAAAAAAAGTATAGCCTTAAACTAAAATCTATAACCCATATGTTATAATTTATGCAAAAATTATAATATTAAGCCATAAAAAATGGAAATCTATAGTATCTCATCGTCTCCTTAAGCCCAATATGTTATTCTACTATCATTTTATCAACATGTCCATACTGTCCACATATCAACATGTCCATACTGTCCACAAATCAACGCATCCATAATGTCCACATATCAACATGCCCATACTGTCCACATATCAACATGCCCATACTGTCCATATATCAACATGTCCACACTGTCCACATATCAACATGTCCATTCTGTCCACATACCATCATGTCCATAATGTCCACATATCAACATGCCCATACTGTCCACATATCATCATGTCCATAATGTCCACATATCAACATGCCCATACTGTCCACATATCAATGTTCCCATAGTGACCACATATCAACATGCCCATACTGTCCACATATCAACATATCCATAGTGACCACATATCAACATGCCCATACTGTCCACATATCAACATATCCATCCTGTCCACATATCAACATATCCATACTGCCCACATATCAACATGCCCATACTGTCCACATATCAACATATCCATACTGTCCACATATCAACATATCCATAATATCAACATATCCATACTGTCCACATATCAACATGTCCATACTGTCCACATATTATGTCCACATATCAACATATCCATGTTATCCACAGTTTTACCTCCAAATGAGGATGGAAATCAAGTTCTCCCACCTCCTCCGCCCTGTGCTTCAGCTGACCTTCATGGTGTCCGCCGTGTTGTGCTGTGTGACTCGCGTCACTGACCACAAACATTTCACCACTGACGTCATTGGTGGTGCTGTGCTGGGAACTGTGCTAGCCTGGCTTGTGGTGAGTTACCTCAACAACCTTAGTTACTTCAGTTGGTTACCTTAGTTACCTCATTAACCTCAGTTACTTGAATTATATCAGTTACCTCATCTACCTCAATTATCTCAATGGCTGGGACTATTCGCACCCGGGTACCAGAAGTGAGAGGTTGGGATTAAAAAACTGTTTAAAATATTACGGTTGGGTTTGTAAGACAAAATGAGGTATCAAATGAAAGATAATTGAATGGACTAAATGTTTGTAAACTTATTTCTTCAGTTTAACTAAAATAAACTGCCACAAATGACATCCGAATGGGATCTAAACTAATGGGTCCCGGGATGCTACATGTTTTGAAGGTGTTTGTTTAGATAAAAGGGATGCTACATGTTTTGGAGGTGTTTGTTTAGAAAAAAGGGATGCTACATGTTTTGAAGGTGTTTGTTTAGAAACAGGGGATGCTACATGTTTTGAAGGTGTTTGTTTAGAAAAAAGGGATGCTACATGTTTTGAAGGTGTTTGTTTAGAAACAGGGGATGATACATGTTTTGAAGGTGTTTGTTTAGAAAAAAGGGATGCTACATGTTTTGAAGGTGTTTGTTTAGAAACAGGTGATGCTACATGTTTTGAAGGTGTTTGTTTAGAAACAGGGGATGCTACATGTTTTGAAGGTGTTTGTTTAGAAAAAAGGGATGCTACATGTTTTGAAGGTGTTTGTTTAGAAAAAGGGGATGCTACATGTTTTGAAGGCGTTGTTTAGAAAAAGGGGATGCTACATGTTTTGAAGGCGTTTGTTTAGAAAAAAGGGATGCTACATGTTTTGAAGGTGTTTGTTTAGAAAAAGGGGATGCTAAAAGTTTTGAAGGCGTTTGTTTAGAAAAAGGGGATGCTACAAGTTTTGAAGGCGTTTGTTTAGAAACAGGGGATGCTACATGTTTTGAAGGTGTTTGTTTAGAAACAGGGGATGCTACATGTTTTGAAGGCGTTTGTTTAGAAACAGGGGATGCTACAAGTTTTGAAGGTGTTTGTTTAGAAAAAGGGGATGCTACAAGTTTTGAAGGTGTTTGTTAGAAAAAGGGGATGCTACAAGTTTTGAAGGTGTTTGTTTAGAAACAGGGGATGCTACATGTTTTGAAGGTGTTTGTTTAGAAAAAGGGGATGCTACAAGTTTTGAAGGCGTTTGTTTAGAAACAGGGGATGCTACATGTTTTGAAGGCGTTGTTTAGAAAAAGGGGATGCTACATGTTTTGAAGGTGTTTGTTTAGAAAAATGGCATGCATAAGGAATCTCAAGATCAATAAAATAATTTTTAAGCACATTCATTCCTATTTCTATGGCAACTAATATTCGAACAAGATTTTTGGCCACCGGTATCTTGAGTATTCATGTTTGTCGTTTCTTTCCCTCCACAGTTTGAGAAGCTCGGGCGGCGTCTGATCCCAACCGCCTGCTCAAACAAACCCCCACGTCTACCTCGCGCCACATCCATAGAATCTGAGCCCCAGACGCCCACGCCCTTGCTCAGGCCCGAGCGCCTCATCATCAACCACCCCTACAGGCACGGGTCGGGACCCTACACCAAGGAGGACTTTGCCAACAAAGTATGAGACACCCCCTCTCCCCGGGTCTGTAAACTAAAACACTTGACGATAAGAAATCCTGCGGTGAGCGACCGACGCAATTTCCGTCTTGGTGTTGAACTGGGAATGTGGACATATCTTGAGGTCAAAGTTCAAACCAAAGGGTACCTTTGACCTGAGAGTGGTGATTTCTCTCTGTAACTTACAATTGAACAATGTTATGTTAAGATGACAGCCTTGGCGAGCTTTGTGGAAATCACGTGACTATCCAGTTTAACATGAAAGAGTGGTCCAGTGGTCTATGACAATCTTGGCGAAGGGGAAACAGGTCCAAAAGGGAAAAGATTCATTTTTTTTTATTCTGCAAGATGCTGGCGCAGTTCGTCTTTCTGTATATCAACCATGTATCAACCATGTCCTGGTTTGTTTAGACTTTGATGATGCTGTGTTTTATAGAGTAAGCTTCTTGTTTAAATAGCTTTTTGGGTTTTTTGTTGACAACTGTGTAAATATAACGTGAATATGTCTTTTTTTAATTGTTTTACACACGAAATAAGTGCAATTATGTTTCTGTGAAATTATTCCAATGAAGACAATTTCAGTTGTACTCTTCTTTTTTCGCCACCAGCTTACAACTTACATTTTGAAAACTTTTATTGAAGGAAAAAAAGTAGAATGTATTGTAGCCTGCATCAAAGAAGTGGAAAGTATTTCTTTTTATTGTTAAATATAGTTTTCAGTATAAGCCCAGGAATTTAGGTTTTTAAAAACTTATAATTTTCAAAAACCTTTTATCCCATGTTAGCTCTTTCTACTGATATTTTCTGATTGGCTAAACCATTCAAAGTCAACCAATGAGATCAAAGTATGATTGGAGATAGTGTTTTTTTTTGTTTTTTTTTTAACTTCCGGTTGCCAAACGTGAATTCAAACATTTGTTCATCAAAACATTTACATATTGCATTATTGCGGGGATATATTATTTATTAGGGACATGTAACATTGCACCCAATTCCATTATAAATAAGTTATACACAAATGTTATGTTATATCCCAAATAGTGTTTTATTGGGATAAATTAGCCCTATAAATATAAATATATATATATATATTTAACATTAACTTTTTGTAACATTCTATTTATTATTTATATCAATATTGTTACCAGTTTAATTTCATTATATAACGCGTAGTGGCAGTAGTGATTACTAGTAAACTTTTGTATGTAGAGTATGTTGAACAGTTTAGCCATAGCAGATGTTTGAAAAATGAAGACTCATTATGTTAGAGTCTTGGTGTTAAACGTCCACAAAAGCTGGAGATTGGCCTTGTAAAGTCTGATCGTAGCTCTAGGAAATGTAAAAAAAATCAACACCTGGGCTCTAGGAAATGTTAGAAAACTGGGCTCTATAAACTTTAAAAAACTGGGATCTAGAAAATGTTAGATAACTGGGCACTATAAAAATGTAAAAAAACTGGGCTGAAGGAAGTGTTAGAAAACTAAACTGGGCTCAAGGAAGTGTTAGAAAACTGGGCCCAGGGAAGAAAACTGGGCTCTGGGAAATGTGGGAAAACTGAGCTATAGGAAATTTGGAATAATTCCGTTGTATGAAATATTAGTCATCTAATCCTATTGTTTTAAAACATTAGATCTATTGCTAAGATGAGAACGTGGTATTGGCTATGTGCATGTGGAACACATTCCAGTGTAAATAATGTATAGTTAGTTCTTTACTGCCTGATGCTAGGATCGTATAAGTTATTAGCATATAAGATGTAGAATAACATTTGAATATAAAAAAATGGACATGTCTTTGTGAATTTTTATGTGTGCAAATGATGTCTTGTTTTCAAATGGTATGCGTACTTGAACAGTTGCAGGTGTACAAATATAATCCTGGGTAAGATCAACCAAAAGATGCTTATAACTGAAGACTGTAAATATTAGCTGCCCCGAGAGACCCCCCCCCTCGCTTATTTCCCTGTACACAAGACAACACCACAAAACACACACACATTTGACTTAATCACTTACACATTGACACACTTACAATACTTTACAGTATGTTACTGCCTCATTCCAGGGCTTCCAACTATGAGATGTCATGACAGTCAGCTGTGAGATGTCATTGACAATCAGCTGTCAGATGTCATTGACAATCAGCTGTCAGATGTCATTGACAATCAACTGTGAGATGTCATTGATAATCAAATGTGAGATGTCATTGACATTCAAACATGAGATGTCATTGACAATCAACTGTTAGATGTCATTAACAATCAATATGATATGTCATTGACAATCAAATATTATGAGATGGCATCAGGAAAAAACTGATTTGTGGGGGTTGGGGGGCTGAAAATTTAAAGAGTGTGTTGTCCTCGGCGACGTGTCTATGTGCCAAGTTTCAGTTCGATACGATTACGGAAAGCGGGTCAATTAGTCGTCCGAAGATTTTGCTACAAAGACTCACGAACAAAGGCAAAGTTCATATAAGGGATTTGAAAAGAGATCCAAGCTGTAAAATCTAAAATCTTCAGTAGGCAACATGCAGACATGGCAAGAAAATTCGATTTGTCTATTTTCCTTAAAAAACCGCTTCATTTTATTACTTATGTATATTGACTTTGAATTGCTGTACACATTCAATCATGTGTTGACAGCATAATCACCTTTTTTTAAAAAAAAAAATGTAAAATAAAATGTAAAAACAAAAGATATAAAAACAGATTAAAATTAATATGTAGGATTATTTTTTTTTTGTACACAAAATACGGTTGTCGACCACCTCGTAAATTTAACAACACCAGTGGTGAATAAACGATAAATTATGTGATGTAAACAGTGCACGTCACTTTCATTGTAATCATCTTCGCACACGATCTAAGGGAGTTCAGCAGGAAATTCGTTTTATCAATGCTTTAAAATATATTTAGTTCCTTATTTTTTTGGATACGACATCTATTTTTTTTTAAATACTCGCTAGCTCTAGGATGGGTAATGTCTAACATTTCGCTCATCTCAAAACCGATGGGTTTAAGTCTAGCGACTACTGGGAAGATTGCGTTTGAAACAGGGTTGGTTATTGTAGGCGTAAAGCGTATCACAGACCTGTTTACCCCTGCCCCTACGCTTTCGCCGTAGTGACTACGTTTTTTAAGCCTAAGCCTACGGCACTATGACAAGCCTAAAAAACAACTAAAAAAAACCACGATAGCTGGAGTTGTTTTTTTTTTTTTTTTGGTTTTTTTGCTTTTTTTTGAATTTTTAAAAATTAATAATTTGGGTGATTTCGTTAATAGGTTACCCCAATGTTCCCAGCCCCTACGCTTTCGCCGTAGTGACTACGTTTTTTAAGCCTAAGCCTACGGCACTATGACAAGCCTAAAAAACAACTAAAAAAAACCACGATAGCTGGAGTTGTTTTTTTTTTTTTTTTGGTTTGTTTGCTTTATTATGAATTTGTAAAAATTAATAATTGGGGTGATTTCGGTAATAGGTTACCCCAATGTTCCCTCTAATGTTTGCTGGTTCGTGTGCAAAATCTTAACAGTTGTGTGGAAAGTTTTACAGTATCGATTTTTTGTGTGCAAAATTTTACAGCCCACAAATACAAACATATACGTGCATGGAAATTTGCTGCGCGGATACTCAAAACTGATGCGCGGCGTCTGTGTGTTGTGTTGACACCGTAAACGATGGAATGAGAATAACTGTGATTGGCCTTTGGGTGTCGATCTCAATGAACCAACCAGGATATTTTTCGTTTAGAGGATTGCGTTGTGAATACTTAACTGCCAAATGTGCCTGCCGAAGACCTTCTCTCATCCTTAAGAAACACACCAGAGGACCGTATCTTGTATATTTATTTGTGCTAAATGACATAAGCAGTTGAGCGCATTTCCTAACACAACTCGTATTAGGATTGCGAATCTCAACGGGGGCGTTAATTGACCAAACTACCCTTTGGAGCTTGAACTTACTCTGACACTGATCAAGGGGGAAACACGTCTGGTGTCACTTTAGAAATAAACCAGCATATTATAGGATACATTTAATATACGGCAGAGGTGATTTCTAGATTTAGCGACGCATTATAAGGCAAAAATATGAGATTAAATAATACATTTATATTATTTTTAAACAATATTTTTTAATTTTTTTTTTTTTTAGTACCTAAAATGCTTTGTGTTTTGAAGAGAAGTTATTTGAAATTTTTTTAAAAAATCAATGAATTTGGACTGGGAAGACTACTACTTCTGAACCACTGCTTTTAAAGGATTTACTGCTTACCTCCCTTAGATTTAGATGTTGCATCTATGAAATTAACATTGTTGCAATTTATTTATTTTTGTAACATAATTTATTTTATTTTTTTAATTGAACTTAGCATTTTCTTTACCGAAGTATAGATATACATGGTGGTGGGCAACCTTATTTTGTGTGAAAAGCGATCCTATTTGTACATCGTACAATAGAGTTGGATGAAATGAAATCAAATCTTTCATCTACTACATCTATTTTTTTTTTAAACTTTTTTTTTTTCAGCTCTCAGCGCATCTTTTAATGTGTGTTTTTTAAAACGCCGATTTGCCTAAATGTCGTTTATCCGCATGGACTATACGTGATTTCTATTGCTATCGTTCGCTATGCGCATTGCATCCATCTTATGCGTACTAAAACCGCAAAAGCGATTCCGATCCCTATCGCCCAATTCAGATCAAATCCAGATACTTTAAGTTGGAGTGTAGACTACAAGAAGAGACCAGACTGGGCTCATACGATCTTCACAATAGTCAATTCAGATCTATATCACTGAAATGATCGCCTGAAAAGGCCAGGGACCTCGGATTTTATTCTCAGCGCCTGTCGTATATTTTGGGAGACAATAATTAAATCCTCACCTTTAAAACAAACATTAATTAATCCATCGGCGTGAACACATTGTTCATGACATGTTTAGATATAATGTTAGAATATATTGTATGTACTAGTTTCATTGATGTCAACTTCCCATGGGGGCGGTCTGTCATCCGAAATCAGTCTTGTGTTGCGTATTGTTCCTCTAACGAGCCAAATCTTAAAACAGATTAAATTTGTTAAACCAGATAACGGTACGTAAACGTGTGTCACGTGATTTTCGTGAGTCAGGGGCGGCAATGTAAATGACAGCCCAAGGCGTGTGTGTGTGACAGCCCAGGGTGTGTCTGACAGGCCAAGACGTGTACGACGGCCCAAGGCGTGTATAAGCGTCCGTTCACACGATCAAATTTTCGTTCCTTATAAATTTGATGCAATTTTTGTATAAAGCCTTCTGACAACTTTCATATCATCATAGACGCCAAATTTGAAAGTAATTTGCTCATGCGAGCTGACGCTTACAGCCTCGGGCGTGTAAGACAACTCAGTGCGTGTAAGACAACCCAGTGCGTGCAAGACAACTCCAAGCTATTCAAGCTCTAGCAGCTTCTTCACATCTAAGGAGCATGGTGTGGGCTTCATCGTGCAAACGGGTGCAAACATACAGGCACAGTACGACAAAAATATTGACACAAAGACACAGACACACTGCGACAGAAATATTGACACAACAACATACAGACACACAGCTTCAAAAAAATATTTGACACAAAAACATACAGACACACTGCGACTGAAATATTGACACAAAAACACACAACGACACAAAATATTGACACAAAAACACACAACGACACAAAATATTGACACAAAAACACACAACGACACAAAATATTGACACAAAAACACACAACGACACAAAATATTGACACAAAAACACACAACGACACAAAATATTGACACAAAAACACACAACGACACAAAATATTGACACAAAAACATACACGTAACTAACACAATGACAAACGCGTGCTGGTAACCAAACCATGAAGGCAGCTTTCAAAGATTTATCGGTTTTATTATGTCATTCGGATATCGTATGAGCCGTCCGGATTTCACAGGGAAGAACCGTCCATTCCAACAGTTAGCCACACACAAATGAAAGTGGGTAGTTGACCAAGGTGTTGCAGACGCACTCTCCGATGCCGAACTTGTCACACAGTTGCTGGCCCAGACTTTTGATAATCTTCTTGCAGATTTCTGGAAATAAAACCGTTGTCATCATGAGTTGATGCTGGCGAAGTTTACTCCCTTTCATCGTTCATTGCTGTTGTTGCTAAACATAAAAAGGGACCCACGACGATTCTCATTCCTTTGGTTTATGTGAGTCCCCCTCCTTACTTAGCTTAACTTATTGCCCATTTAGGAAAACAGCTTTTCTTAACCCAGCTTGCCTATTTGGACATACATCGCTACTTAATACAATGTATTACATATTTAAAAACACACAAATCAAGTTTTTTTTTTTCTTTTAAGAACAGCCCCACACAGCCTACCAACTACTCTCTTCCCACCCACTACACCTTTTAAATAAAGCAACATTTATTATGTTTAATATTCTGTGACCGTTGACTTTTCTAAATGACCTTTGATCTTGATCTTAAGTTTGGACAATGTAAAATTCTCCTGAAACTAAACCGATGTTCTTCTTTTTAGTTCTTGAATACATAGCTGGGGCGGGGTGGCTGGGGATTGGGGGAGGGGATTGTGGGGGTGGGGGCGTAGGGTAAATAGTTAATGTGCAGAAAATGACATAAAGAAGAGTATAGAGTAAGAACTAGTCAAAATAAAGTGTTGTAAACATAAGCATTTTAAAAAAAAAAAGCATTGTAAAAATAAAGAATTTTAATAATTACCGTAAGTATTGTAAAAATAGAATATTGTAAAAAATAAAGTATATATCGTTTACAAAGTCTGATTGTGTACCTTCAATTTTTATATCTGGCAAAGGGGGTAGTGATGGCATTGGAGGAATTCCAGTTGGTATCGTGAATGGTAACGTTACAGGAATCGGAGGAATGGGCCATCCAGGATTTTTTATTGGTCCTAACCATCTCGGAGCCCTGGGACCTTGTGGTGACCCAACAGCTTGAGCTGTTCCAGGTGCTATCATCATCAACAGCAACGGCGTCATCACCATCATCACCATCCGACCTGTGAACAGAAGATGTCAGTTGTTCAAGATGGTGAGCATAGAAATAAAGCTCTGTGAAGGTTTATAAGGCGTGCATAAGATAAGGGTAATTACAATAAGAGTCAATATAATGTGAACTTTCAGACGTCTATCAAAAGCGATGGCTGACGTTGTATCTCGTTAAAGAAGCCTCCGAAACGTGAAGGTTGAGGTTTTCCTCACTGTTGGCCGGAGTAGCTACAGTGTAGGGATGCAAGGGTAAACAATTACCGGAGTAGTTACAGTGTAGGGATGCAAGGGTAAACAATTACCGGAGTAGTTACAGTGTAGGGATGCAAGGGTAAACAATTACCGGAGTAGTTACAGTGTAGGGATGCAAGGGTAAACAATTACCGGAGTAGCTACAGTGTAGGGATGCAAGGGTAAACAATTACCGGAGTAGTTACAGTGTAGAGATGCAAGGGTAAACAATTATCTTCACGCCGACCGCACCTTCTTTTCTACCCTGAAGCCCATTAATTTCATCAAATAATCAAACAACCCTTAAAAACAAAGATGTTTTTTTGTTGATAAAACCTTTTTAAAATGTTATATGGAGCAATTGGGGGAGGGGGGGGGTGGTGGGGCTGAAAAGTTGCCAACACATGCAAACAAGTAACGCTTTTTATAAGAATCCCAATTAGTGCTCTCCAACCCCCCTCCCCTCCCCCCCCCGGGCCAAGGCTCGCAACCACACATTTTGTTGACGCCCCTGAACTCTATTCCTATTCTAATGACCCACCCGTTTTTACACCCCTGATTTATTTCACCAACTTTTTTTTTTAAATCACAAAAGAAAATACAATGCACCAAACGCAATTGCGATATGTTTTTTTAAAAAAATTTAAAAATAAGAATCTCTTTTAGCGCTGTTATCGGGAATTTTCCTTCATATTACCATTGAAGAATAGGGGGGGGGGGCTGATTTTTTGGTGGTTGGGATAGGGGATGGGGCTGGCAATTAGAGAGAATGTGTTTTCATCGGCTGTGAGTCTACGTGCCAAGTTTCAACTCAATACGTTGACGGGAAGCGGGTGAATTAGCCGTCCGAGGATTTTGCCAGTGAGCTAACCAGCCACCCACCAAATAATACGAAGAATTTACCCCCCCCCCCCTTTCTCAACTCATTGTTTGCGCACCAACTGGCTCCCGGTGAAATCTGCCCCACCCCCTTTCTGCCCCCTCCCCTTTTAGCAAATCATCTGATGATGGCCTCACGTTATCTCAACATTTGATCTCATTCTTTTTCTTTCTTTCTTTTGGGTGATCTTAAAATAAAGATGGGTTATAAATCCAAGCTCAAACAGACGTAAAATAAGTACATGGGCGTATCATGATCATATTCGGTCCTTAAGAAATCATTCGTTTAAAAATGAATTTTAAAACAAAAAAAAATAGTATTTCCTTTCAGCCGCCTACCACTCTTTGTGACACCAAGTGAGGTCATGCCCCACAGGTTGGAGCCTACCACTCTTTGTGACACCAAGTGAGGTCATGCCCCACAGGTTGGAGCCTACCACTCTTTGTGACACCAAGTGAGGTCATGCCCCACAGGTTGGAGCCTACCACTCTTTGTCACACCAAGTGAGGTCATGCCCCACAGGTTGGAGCCTACCACTGTTTGTGACACCAAGTGAGGTCATGCCCCACAGGTTGGAGCCTATCACTCTTTGTGACACCAAGTGAGGTCATGCCCCACAGGTTGGACACCCCTGGAAATAAAGTTATTACTTTTGATTCGATTTGATGCTCTCAAAAGAAATGAATTATTATTGTTTATTATTTTTAACGTGCGAAAAGCTACCCAATTTGGGCTTATGGCGACATGAACATATAATCACATCTATGGATACGCGTATCGATTAGATCTGTATCACAAAGTTTACACATGTGTAATGGCTAATACAGACATGCTTTAGTAACACGGCTGATCTAGAGATATGTAAGTCTATTGGCTGATCTGTACAATGTTAGTATAATTTCTGATCTGGAGATAGTTAGGCTCATTGCTGATCTAGAGAAATGTGTCTCATGGCTGATCTAGAGAAGTGTGTCTCATGGCTGATCTAGAGAAATGTGTCTCATGGCTGATCTAGAGAAATGTGTCTCATGGCTAATCTAGAGAAATGTGTCTCATGGCGGATCTAGAGAAATGTGTCTCTTGGCAGATGTAGCGAAATGTGTCTCATGACTGATCTAGAGAAATGTGTCTCATGGCGGATCTAGAGAAATGTGTCTCATGGCTGATCTAGAGAAATGTGTCTCATGGCGGATCTAGAGAAATGTGTCTAATTAATAATCTAGAGAAATGTGTCTCATGGCAGATCAAGAGAAATGTGTCTCATGGCGGATCAAGAGAAATGTATCTCATGACTGATCTAGAGAAATGTGTCTCATGGCGGATCTAGAGAAATGTGTCACATGGTGGATCTAGAGAAATGTGTCTCATGGCTGATCTAGAGAAATGTGTCTCGTGACTGATCTAGAGAAATGTGTCTCATGGCAGATGTAGCGAAATGTGTCTCATGGCTGATCTAGAGAGATTTGTTTCATGGCTGATCTAGAGAAATGTGTCTCATGGTTGATCTAGAGAAATGTGTCTCATGGCGGATCTAGAGAAATGTGTCTCATGGCAGATGTAGCGAAATGTGTCTCATGACTGATCTAGAGAAATGTGTCTCATGGCGGATCTAGAGAAATGTGTCTCATGGCAGATGTAGCGAAATGTGTCTCATGGCTGATCTAGAGAAATGTGTCTCATGGCGGATCTAGAGAAATGTGTCTCATGGCTGATCTAGAGAAATGTGTCTCCTAGCTGATCTAGAGAAATGTGTCTCATGGCTGATCTAGAGAAAAGTGTCTCATGACGGATCTAGAGAAATGTGTCTCATAGGTTGATCTAGAGAAATGTGTCTCATGGCTGATGTAGAGAAATGTGTCTCATGGCTGATCTAGAGAAATATGTCTCATGGCTGATCTAGATAAATGTGTCTCATGGTGGATCTAGAGAAATGTGTCTCATGGCTGATCTAGAGAAATGTGTCTCATGGCTGATGTAGAGAAATGTGTCCAATGGCTACTCTTGAGAAATGTGTCTCATGGCGGATCTAGAGAAATGTGTCTCATGGCTGATCTAGAGAAATGTGTCTCATGGCTGATCTAGAGAAATGTGTCTCATGGCGAATCTAGAGAAATGTGTCTCATGGCAGATGTAGAGAAATGTGTCTCATGGTTGATTAGAAAAATGTGTCTCATGGCTGATCTAGAGAAGTGTGTCTCATGGCTGATCTAGAGAAATGTGTCTCATGGCTGATCTAGAGAAATGTGTCTCATGGCTAATCTAGAGAAATGTGTCTCATGGCGGATCTAGAGAAATGTGTCTCTTGGCAGATGTAGCGAAATGTGTCTCATGACTGATCTAGAGAAATGTGTCTCATGGCGGATCTAGAGAAATGTGTCTCATGGCTGATCTAGAGAAATGTGTCTCATGGCGGATCTAGAGAAATGTGTCTAATTAATAATCTAGAGAAATGTGTCTCATGGCAGATCAAGAGAAATGTGTCTCATGGTTGATCTAGAGAAATATGTCTCATGGCTGATGTAGATAAATGTATCTCATGGCTGATTTAGAGAAATGTGTCTCATTGCTGATCTAGACAAATGTGTCTCATGGCGATTCTAGACAAATGTGTCTCACGGCGGTTCTAGAGAAATGTGTCTCATGGCGGATCTAGAGAAATGTGTCTCATGGCTTATCCAGAGAAATGTTTCTAATGGCTAATCTAGAGAAATGTGTCTCATGGCTGATCTAGAGAAATGTGTCTCATGGCTGATCTAGAGAAATGTGTCTCATGGCGGATCTAGAGAAATGTGTCTCATGGCAGATGTAGAGAAATGTGTCTCATGGCTGATCTGGAGATATGTAAGTCTAATGGTTTATCTAGAGAAATATAAGTCAATGGATGTTCCAGAGATATGTATGTCTATAGGCTGGTTTAAAGAAATATTCCATGTGATATAGAGTGACATGATACTTACCACGCTTGGCTGTTGTGCACGTCATCTCTACGAGTAGAAGGCCGCTGGTGCTGATCCAAAAATAACTTTGACAGATTCTGCTTGCGATCTGAGGAGCCGATGTCCAACAGGCCTCCTTGTCCACATTATATAATCCCGACATGGACACCTGGACGGCACATAAAATAAATCAAGTCTACTTTATGGTAATTTGAAATTCACGTTAGCAGGTGCATACTGTGATGTTCCGAGGCAGATTCACCGGTCTCAACAATGGAAATGGACGTCAACATTTTCTTCAACAAATCAAAGTATTATTGTTTGTTTTGGGCTGGAGAGTAGTGTCTGTTTGGGTTGAAGATTAGTGTCTGTTTAATAACAAAGTGTTTATTAACAAACGACGGACAAACCCTCATTATAAGCTAGATGTTACTCAGCATACAGTCAGAGGCGTATCAAGGGTGGCGGATAACATGTGCGCCACATGAAAGGGGCCGCAAAGTCGGCGGGCCGGGAAAATAAGTTTTTTTTTATATTTTTTAAAATCGTTTTTGCTTGCAATTTATTTTATCTTTATTGAATAAACACAAATGTTGTACACTAATTTGCTGACTTTTATGTCCTTGAATATAACACTAGATAGAGCCCTCCAAACATTGGCAGCGTGAGCCTCCCATCTACTGAAGTTACTTGACAAAACATGAACTCAAATAACGCACATTTAAGAATCCCAATATTTGCTACACCACTTCCCCATGATACGTCACTGCACACTTTTTATTTTCACGCCCATGAACTATATTAATATTCTCATGTCCCAACCACCTTTAAACCGACAATTTTCTACATAACATTTAAATTGAGACGATTTGATTTCCGAAAAAGTTTTTTTACGGATCAAAAGCAATGGCGTTAATTAAAATATAAAAAAAATATTAAAAAATATCATTTAGCGTATTATCGGGAATTATATTTTGCGCGCTAGTGAATTCATTATTGAACCACACTCTGGCGTATCTATAATATATAGCCAGCGTGGTGGTGGTGTTTATCCTTTCCTAGCGAATTATACATATAGTTATTTTTTAACCAGTTGTTTATGTAACAAACAAAAAAGCGTTATTTATTTGCGCCAATTTTTCGAATGACATAAAAAAAAATATTGGTCTTTAAGTAAAGCAAAAAACATCCACCTTATAGATCTAATTTAGTTTGTTTTTGCATAATTGCATGAATGTGTTTAAAAACAAACTCGTCTGATGCTATAATTGTAGTTTTTTCTGCGATACATTTGTTTAGGTAACACCGTCAGAATCCATTCCACTGTTTGAAAACGATATCAGAAATATGCGAAATGAATTTGAATCCAGTGGCCTAGCCAGGGTTGAAATCACCCGGTGCGGTAAACTCATGGTGTGATCCCCCCCCCCCTTTTTTTTTGAGATGGGTGTCGCCCGGTGCGGTCTGCACCCCCCTCACCCCCCTCACAAAATGAATTTGAATCCAGTGGCCTAGCCAGGGTTGAAATCACCCGGTGTGGTAAACTCATGGTGTGATCCCCCCCCCCCTTTTTTTTTGAGATGGGTGTCGCCCGGTGCGGTCTGCACCCCCCTCACCCCCCTCACACCCCCCCTCCCTCATTTACGCCACTCTTTGAATCTGATTTGTAACGGGTGGAGAATGAAGCAGCTGGGCAACCGCCACATTGTCCTATTACTACTGAATACAACCAGCCGAGGGTTCGGAAAAGACACAACGAGGGACACATGGATTTTGCTCTAGAGCATCTCTTCTGTCGCACTCTCATTAAGTGTAGAACGGTCTGTTTTAAAAAGGAATACATTTGTTGTTTTCGCCAGTATTAACAAAAAGATATTTAAAATACTGATATTTTAATATTAAAAAAAATAGCCTATATACGCAGTGCTCGTGTAAGCGAACTGCCACTACACGATGTGAGTTAATGTAATCGATAAATTTGGAAGACACAGACAAATTCTACAGGAAGTATCCCGTCATCCCTTGCCTGTAAGGTGCGCAAACAGCACTTGCTCGCGCCACGTGCGCCATGTCCAGCCATCTTGCGTGACTTCTCATTGGCGGTGTAAGGAAAAACCACCAAATTAAAAATGATTTAATTGCATGGCAATACAAAACAGCCCAACTGGCATGTGAAAAGTGTGTGGGGGCGGGGGGGGGCGGGCTCAATGAACAATGACTGAGAAAAGTCAAGCAATCGATCTGAACAAAACACACGGAACAAATAATTTTGATTAGCAAAAAATTAGTTTTGATTTTATTAGATGAACTTTGCAAGTGGTGGAAACCCATAAGTAAACACCAGAGTTCTCACTTATTTTTTTTTTTTTTAAATCAGCACACATAAACTGTACGTTTGTTATTGTTCTCAAGTTCCACCATTGCGCAGACCATGCGTGAATTGGTAACTTGCCGCGCACAGGTTTAGGAGCAGTAGACCAATCGTGTTGTACTTGCCATGGTCTTGTCTTCTAATTGGTTGGAACCAACTAGGAGCCATTAGGATGGCCGCATTTCGTTTTTCCCAAACCGTTGCATATATGCCAGTACTTGGTTGCAGCAACGTAGTCTATCAGAATCAAAATTGTCGATGTTCGTCATGATCTGTTCGCTGAAGAAATATTTCAGCGTTAAGATCAAAATAATATTGTTATCATGTCAAGACATTAGTCCCATATAGTTATCCCAAGACGTTGGTCCCATATTGTTATCAGCTCAAGACACTGGTCCAAAATTTTATCATCTGAAGACGTTAGTCCCATATTGTTATCCTCTCAAGACATTAGTCCCATATTTTGGCTACATAATATTTTCAACACAACTGTTTTTAAACGTAATTCATGTTTACGGCAATTCCCTGTTAACAATTTGTAAGTACCCTGAGTTCTCGGAATCCGAACGCCCTAGAACTCCAACAACAAGCCTCCATCCCCAGAAATCAATTTTTCAAGAGGAAAATGCAGAAAATAAAATGACACGGATTTCATAAAATAAAATTCCCGATAACTGCGCTAAATGAGATTATTCTTTTACAAATCGCAAGTGCGTTTGGTGAGTAATATTTTCTTTTGTTTTTCTGAAATAATGGGAGTCGCTTAGTCACTTCCTTGTTTGGTCACGTGATATGAGTAAGTCATCACTAGGCTGCAACACACAACAAAAGATACTTCATCAGTGCTTCCCCAATGTTATGTTAATTAAAAATGTTACCTTTCGTAATATTCTGGAATACATGCGTTTTTTAAATGAAATACATAGATGTGACAATAAATATACATCAGTTATGATTAAAGGAAGAAAGTTATTTCAAGAAAAATTTGTGAGCGATATTCGATGGGAACTATCAATACTATTATCGGCAGGATGTTGTTGAGCTCCGTGCGTGCTCATGACGTCATTTGCGTTTTTATTCAATATTGATGCAGGAGTCATTCCCCTTTGTTTATTTTATTGTTAATTTTCATTGGACGAAATGTAGTGTAGTTGTAGTGTGTATCGGGCTACTGTTGTCAAGCACTAGTGTGTTGTATACAGTATACCGGAAATCTTACTCGTTTTTACTCATATCACGTGACAAAATAATTGACTAAGCGACTCCCATTGGTAAAATAAATCTGCGGTGTAAAATCGGGTGGGACATTTGAATGGTAATATTAGTTCAGGAGCACTAATTGGGAATTCTAATAAAGTGCGTTATTATATTTGTATGCACGTTTTGTCAAAATTTCAGCCCTCCCCCCACCCCCCACCCCCCAATAGCTCGACATTACATATTACATAAAGGATGTATACGGGAACAAAATGCTTTAATTAAGGGTTTGTTCAACTATCGTCTCGCAGCTTGAAATGGCAAGTGGAGTCATCGTTGCGCACCGGATGTGCAACTTGAAGCACAAGTTTTAATTTTATGGTGTCATTTATTTATTTTGTTTAATTCGACACTTCCTGAAATCCAAGCCATCACATTTCCGCTTGCTTGCACGACTCAGCTTTTCATTAATTTCAAACCATTTCTCCTCTCTCAGTCACTGAGTCTCAGCTCCTGCTCGCCCAGTCGATCGAGGCTGCTCCGTGATGCGTTTAGAATAATTTGCAAGACAAAACTATTTGAGTAGAATTTATATGCTTTAGAACATAAAATACAAGTCTAAGTGTCAAATTTTAACCGAATTCAAAATTGGCGGGAAGTGCGGAGAAATCCCACGATACCCTCTGAGTTTTAGGCCAATAATACGGCATGAAATAGAAATGTTGAAAGACTCGACAGTTGAAGGAAAAAAAAAGGATAAAAAACATGCCAATAAGTCGTCCATCAGATGTGTGCCATTTTAGTTTAGCTTAGCCAGCTAACTCGAAGAATTGTGATTTCAAATATGACTGCCCTTCAAGACTATGTTATTTTTATTAGGCTATTATGGGTAATGTCATATAAGCCAGGTGAGTGTTTTTGATTGCAACATTAAAGAACACTAAAGGTTACTGGGGCTTAACGGGGTGCATTTTTTTTTACACCGGGTCCAAGTATTTTGAAAAATAGGCCTACGAGACAGTCCTATACCATACCTGTCGGCATTTAAACAATAGGCCTACAGACAGTAATATACCTTATCTACCGGCCTTTAAACAACAGGCCTACAGACAGTCCTATACCCTATATATCTACCGGCCTCTAAACAACAGACCTACAGGCAGTCCTATGCCCTATCTACCGGCCTCTAAACAATAAACCTACAGACAGTCCTATACCCTATTCTACCGCCTCTAAACAATAGACCTACAGACAGTCCTATATCCTATTCTACCGGCCTCTAAACAACAGACCTACAGACAGTCCTATACCCTATCTACCGGCCTCTAAACAACAGACCTACAGACAGTTCTTCAGACAGTCCTACACAATATCCGTGGCTGCTTATTGAATAATATAATTGTCATCTGGCCCTAAAGAAGTTATTTTACCTTGAGCACAGTCTTTTTTTTCCACTCATTACTATTAATGTAAAACACGTGAACTTGGGGAGGGACTGTTTCGAAAAGGAAGCAGGACACGCCAGAAGCAATATATATATAAGAGATCATCAATAAATTCAGACTAATATACTAAACAATGATTAAATTCTTATTGACTTACCCATTGCGATGCTTACACCAATGCTAACATCAGTGCTTAAACCAGTGCTTACACCACTGCTTACACCAGTGCTTACACCAATGTGAAGCTGACGGGGCATGTCAATATTGGAATTTTTTATGCTCAAACTTTGAACAACAAATCAGTCTTAAAATGTAGTGCATGCATTTCTTAATATCGGAGCAAGATGCTACTCCAATTGTACAAGAAGAAACTGCCTCTCTAGATTTAAGATAGCACGGAGGCTTGAGGCTATCTACATAAATTTCATGCCGGATTAAAAATCTAAAGATGTAATAATTCTAGATTAACATTCACGATCTCTCAATTCATGTTAACAATCATAACCTCTCAATTTATGTGACAACCATAACATGCATTTCTAGTTTGACAATCACAATCTAATTACATTTGTAAGTAGTTTTTTTTAAATAAATTGTATCGCTCTATACTCGTTTAGTACTTGTACTGGACTTGGCGATTTTCTAAAACTTGATTTACAACTTCTACATTTGAATTCCCCCTTCCCCAGCCCATTTCTTCTTCTTCTTCCTTGCCTTTCTTCAACTCCCTGATAGTAAGACATAGGCCATTAACACTTTTTTTCCAAGCCTTCCGGTCTCTAGTTGTCCTCTTGCTAACTCTTTCCAACTCTTTCCAGTCTTTCCTACAATCTTTGTTAACATCTCGTCTACATGTGCTTTTGGGTCTGCCCCGTCATCTTCTTCCTTGAGGGTTCTCTATCATGGCTCGTCTTGCTATACCTGCCATGGGTCATATACCTTTGCTTGTCTTGCTATACCTGGCATGTGTCACATACCTTTGCTTGTCTTGCTATACCTGGCATGTGTCACATACCTTTGCTTGTCTTGCTATATCTGTCATGGGTCACATACCTTTGCTTGTCTTGCTATATCTGTCATGTGTCACATACCTTTGCTTGTCTTGCTATATCTGGCATGTGTCATATACCTTTGCTTGTGTTGCTATACCTGGTATGGGTTAATACCATTGCTTGTCTTGCTATATGTGCCATGGGTCACATACCTTTGCTTATCTTGCTATACCTGGCATGTGTCACATACCTTTGCTTGTCTTGCTATACCTGGCATGTGTCACATACCTTTGCTTGTGTTGCCAAACCTGGTATGGGTTAATACCATTGCTTGTCTTGCTATACCTGGCATGTGTCACATACCTTTGCTTGTCTTGCTATACCTGGCATGTGTCACATACCTTTGCTTGTGTTGCCAAACCTGGTATGGGTTAATACCATTGCTTGTCTTGCTATATTTGACATGGGTCCCATACCAGTGCATATTTTGCTATATTCGGCATGTGTTTTCTCTTGGCGTCACCTATCCGTCTTCCCTTGATGTATACGATAAACACTCCCACTGCACTTTTTTCAATAGACGCTGTGACTTTCTGTAACTACGTTAACGTCATCTAATAGACGCTGTGACCTTCTGTAACTACGTTAACGTCATCTACATTGAATCCCCCGCTCTTATTTCCAGTTACTACTTTTTCTTGCAAGTTCACTGACTCACCCAAGAACCGAGTCAGTATCGACCCTTTGTTGGAGACAACCGCCTTTTGCCGGAGGGGCCTCATTGATGGCAGGGACAGCTTTGTCTTGAGAGCGATTATAAACTACGCCGACCTGCAATACCCTCACTGGTCCAGTGTTGGGGTCATCACCAACGAAAGATGCGTGTCGCCAAGGTTTAGTCAGCCCATATCGGTAAGTTCAAATGATGAATGATCGCACGGAGTAAGTGGATGATCGCACGGAGTAAGCGGATGATCGCACGGAGTAAGTGGATGATCGCATGGAGTAAGGGGATGATCGCACGGAGTAAGTGGATGATCGCACGGAGTAAGTGGATGATCGCATGGAGTAAGTGGATGATCACATGGAGTAAGTGGATGATCACACGGAGTAAGTGGATGATCGCATGGAGTAAGTGGATGATCGCATGGAGTAAGTGGATGATCACATGGAGTAAGTGGATGATCACATGGAGTAAGTGGATGATCGCAAGGAGTAAGTGGATGATCGCACGGAGTAAGTGGATGATCGCATGGAATAAGTGGATGATCACATGGAGTAAGTGGATGATCGCATGGAGTAAGTGGATGATCGCATGGAGTAAGTGGATGATCGCATGGAATAAGTGGATGATCACATGGAGTAAGTGGATGATCACATGGAGTAAGTGGATGATCACATGGAGTAAGTGGATGATCGCATGGAGTAAGTGGATGATCGCATGGAGTAAGTGGATGATCGCATGGAGTAAGTGGATGATCGCATGGAGTAAGTGGATGATCACATGAAATAAGTGGATGATCACATGGAGTAAATGGATGATCACATGGAGTAAGTGGATGATCACATGGAGTAAGTGGATGATCGCATGGAGTAAGTGGATGATCGCATGGAGTAAGTGGATGATCGCATGGAGTAAGTGGATGATCGCATGGAGTAAGTGGATGATCACATGAAATAAGTGGATGATCACATGGAGTAAATGGATGATCACATGGAGTAAGTGGATGATCACATGGAGTAAGTGGATGATCGCATGGAGTAAGTGGATGATCGCATGGAGTAAGTGGATGATCGCATGGAGTAAGTGGATGATCGCATGGAGTAAGTGGATGATCACATGAAATAAGTGGATGATCACATGGAGTAAATGGATGATCACATGGAGTAAGTGGATGATCACATGGAGTAAGTGGATGATCGCATGGAGTAAGTGGATGATCGCATGGAGTAAGTGGATGATCGCATGGAGTAAGTGGATGATCGCACGGAGTAAGTGGATGATCACACAGAGTAAGTGAATTATCACATGGAGTAAATAGATGATCGCATGGAGTAAGTGAATGATCGCATGGCAGCTTATATAAGAGGGGAACTCTAAAATTAAACTCGGTTACGGAGTCCCGTAGGCGGTATGACATTGACACAATGAACATTTCGACAACTCCTGCGACACGGAAGACATAAACAGCACAGTGAAACACATACACATAGGGAGACTCACATACACTATTTGCCGTTACTTGGATAGGTCTTGCCTTGAAAAAAATAGGCAAGGACTAGAGAGTGAGGCTGAAAAATTGAGAAAAAAGTGCATCCCAAGTCTAGGCTATCTACTCAAGTCTTAGCATTGGTTCGCATGCGAAGGACGAACATTGCAGGATCACAAAGTAACAACACAAAAAAATGATTAAACAAGTTCTGTGGAGATTGTATAACTCCCAAGAAGGGTCGTCGTGATCTAAAAACAGGTGAACCTTTGATCTGCAGATCCTCTCGTCTTACCTGCTGCTGCCGAACGTCCCTTGCCAGGCCGCCACCGCGGCGCCCCCGGGGAAATGTCTTTGTGTCGGCGACGACGGTAAGCGGTACGTCATTCTGTGCAACATCACTGCCTCCATGGAGTTCAACGGGCATCACGTCGGCGTTCACTTCACGCACTTCCCGACAGCGTCGGACGTCTACAGCGACACCATCGAAATCCCGACCATATACAGTGAGTAACACTACATCTATCGTCTAGGTTTAGAGTCGACTGTAAGGCGAAGTAACACCACATCTATCATCTAGATTTAGAATCGATTGTAAGCCGAAGTAACACCACATCTATCATCTAGGTTTAGAGTCGATTGTAAGGCGAAGTAACACCACATCTATCATCTAGATTTAGAATCGATTGTAAGCCGAAGTAACACCACATCTATCATCTACATTTAGAATCGATTGTAAGCCGAAGTAACACCACATCTATCATCTAGATTTAGAATCGATTGTAAGCCGAAGTAACACCACATCTATCATCTAGGTTTAGAATCGATTGTAAGGCGAAGTAACACCACATCTATCATCTAGGTTTAGAATCGATTGTAAGGCGAAGTAACACCACATCTATCATCTAGGTTTAGAATCGATTGTAAGGCGAAGTAACACCACATCTATCATCTAGGTTTAGAATCGATTGTAAGGCGAAGTAACACCACATCTATCATCTAGGTTTAGAATCGATTGTAAGGCGAAGTAACACCACATCTATCATCTAGGTTTAAAATCGATTGTAAGGCGAAGTAACACCACATCTATCATCTAGGTTTAGAATCGATTGTAAGGCGAAGTAACACCACATTTATCATCTAGCTTTAGAATCGACTGTAAGGCGAAGCAACCTTATATCTTCGTATAGAATAGATTGTAAGAAAGTACCGTAACACATTATTTAGATAACAAAGTCATGGCACATGCAAAATTAAGTTTGTTCCATTATTCCTCTATGGCAGCGGTTCTCAACCTGTGGGTGGCGACCCCTTTGAGGGTGTATAGATGTAGCTGATGGGATGTCAATGACATCATAGTGAGTGTATAGGTGCAGCTGATGGGATGTAAAGGACATCATGCTGCGTGTATAGTGTAGCTGATGGGATGTCAATGACATCATGTTGAGTGTATAGATGTAGCTGATGGGATGTCAATGACATCATTTTGAATGTATAGATGTAGCTGATGGGATGTCAATGATATCATGCTGAGCGTATAGATGAAGCTGATGTGATGTCAATGACATCATGTTGAGTGTATAGATATAGCTGATGGGATGTTAATGACATCATGCTGAGCGTATAGATGTAGCTGATGTGATGTCAATGACATCATGTTGCGTGTATAGATGTAGCTGATGGGATGTCAATGACATCATGTTGCGTGTATAGATATAGCTGATGGGATGTTAATGACATCATGCTGAGCGTATCGATGTAGCTGATGTGATGTCAATGACATC